ACCGTAGGAAAGTTATTTTCTAAGACAAAAACTCCATTGGCCCCTCTAGAACAAACTAACGTCGTCTATCATGTACCCTGTGCGGGAGTGCAACTCCTGCTACATTGGCCAGACCAGCCGTTCTCTTCAAGGTCGACTAACGTCCCATAAAAGCGACATTAGGATTTCAAAACCATCCTGTGCCCTTGCACAACATGCCATTTCAACCAAAACACAGTATCGATTTCACGAATACTAAAATACTGTGCAAACAAAAAAATTATCATAAGCGTTCTATCCTTGAAATGTGTCAAATTCTTAAACATCCATCATCCCTAAATAAAAGAACCGACATCGACAACTTGAGCCAGATATATCACTCTCTCATCATACACAACAAATAATAATTAAATAAAAAAACACGTACAAGATAGTAACTTCATTCCCCTTCTTCTTTCCCTATTTTCAAAATATTTTTTTTTTTGTAGAAGAAAATATTCCTTTTTGAAAAATAGGGCTGTCCCCTTTCTGCTTACTAACTTTTTTAATAATTGTACCTCACTGCTTTCCGAAGAAACGTATGGACGACACATGCCACATGTGCAAATGTGACAGCCTAAAACCGATAGAAAACATTCCAAGAGATTATTGTGTTGGGTCTTCGAAAGAGCTTACACCCACATTGAGATGAAGCCATCGGTAAAAATTAAATAAACAATAGTGCTGTTTCAGTTTTTTCCTGTGTGTTTTTTGTTTCGATATTATCGTTTAGTTTTTAAATTTTTTAATGTTAAGTTATCGTAGAGTGTGTTTAACATCTTTTACAAAACCTACAAATTGTTTTTGTAAGTATGAACCCTTTTGGTTATTTACTTATTTTTTTACATCGTTTTATTTTTATTTGTAGTGAACTGATGATGCTTTTGAAAACTAAAAAGCGAAACGTATTCGATTTAAATCAATGAAGTAGTTGACGACTTTCATTTGCCTATTATTGACCGATACAACCTCTGCTATTCAACTATTGAATATTTTTTTATATATATATATATATATATATATATATATATATATATATATATATTTGTCCACTTGTTCGACGTTGGTTCCGTTTATAAGAAGATTCTCGATATTTCTTTGAGTTTTCGATATTCTCATAAATTTCGTCTTCTTGGCATTCATTGTTAGACCATAATCCTTTTCATACTCCGTTATTCTGTCACCAGTCTCTGAAGATCTTCAATATTTTTGGCTAAGATCACAGTGTCGTCCGCATATCTAATGTTATTAATGGGAACTCTATTTACCTTTATTCCAGCTGTTCACCCTCAATCGAATAATTAGGGAGTACTTAAACAATACTTTCCCGAATCGAGTTATATCAATGGAACAGGCGATATTAAGTGACCTGCGCGATCTCCAGATCTTACACCCATGGACTTCTTTTTTGGGGACATTTAAAATGCATCATCTACGATCATCCTAAGGCTAGAGCCCAAAATTTGGATGAATTAAAAAACAAATAAGTGCTATAATTCTATTACAGCAGAAACTATTACATCTGTCCGCAGAAGTTTTTATGACAGATTGGTATACTGTTCAGCCATAGAAGGTCAAATATTTGAATCATTTCTGTAGGGCATAAAGAATTATTTCTTAGTTTATATTTTGCCTTAAAAAAATGCGCTTTCATTTTTAATTCAACCACAAAAAATTGTTCACATTATTAAAAACAGATACAAATGCACCGACTAATAAAGGTTAGTGCATTTTTATGGAGTTCATGTTATACGAAATGAACTGAAATACATATCCTATGCAATGTTATGTGTTACTAAATGGTGTTCCCGTTTTCTGTCTAGGCGTCGGAGGGGATCGGAGAATTTATCTCGTACGAGGCAATATTATATATTATTATTATTATTATTATAATATAAGCGAGGGCAGAGGAACTAAGTCCCTATTATGCCCAAAAACAAAGAAATTTCATTAATCACCTACTAGTAAATAACAAAAATTACTAATAAAAGAAATAAAATTACAATTTTTGGTTTAAAAGAAAAACAATATTTTAACTATAATATAAAACTGTCAAGTCTGTTTTGAACGAGTTGGTAGAAGAAGCGGAGACAATGTTATCGTTGAGGTTATTCCAGCACTCAAATGAAAGTTCTGTCTTTGTCTTATAGAAAAATTTTCTTTCTTTAGTTTATATTGATGACCTCTGAGGCGTTCATCTTGGTTTATGATAAATATTTCGTCGATTTCACAGGTTTCCAAAATTGAATTTTAGTATTTTGAATGTTGTAATTAAGTCTCCACGTTGCCGGCGAAGTTCAAAAGTGGTTAGGTTAGCCATACTAAGTCTTTCTGCATAAGACGGTCTTCTCGGTCCCAAAGAAATTCGAGTGGCTTTTCTTTGAACGTTTTCCAACAGAGTCTTGTCTCGAACCAGATCGGGATACCACGTTGGTCCAGCGTATTTAAGTATGGGTCTTACGTACATAGTGTAAAGTTTGCAAAATGATTGCATTGAAACTCCCGAAAAACACCTCCGAATAAGATACAGTCTGGAGTTTGCACGTTTACAAATAGAGGTAATATGATCGGACCAAGTTAGGCTGCTGTTCACAATAACACCAAGATCGTTATACAAAAACACAGATTCTAATGGCTGCCCGTTAACAAAGTACGGCACAAGTGGGTTATTTTTGCCAATTCGAAGCACTACACATTTTTCCACGTTTAAGGGTAGTAACCACTGAGAACACCAAGTTAAAATAGAGTCCAAGTCCATTTGGAGGGTTAGCTGGTTTGTGTTTGGATTGGCATATATTTTTGTGTCGTTAGCGTAAAACCATATTTTACTTGAGACATAATAAGGAATATCGCTGGTGTAAACCGTAAAAAGCAGAGGTCCAAGGACAGAACCTTGAGGCACTCCACTTTCCACTAACCTGTCCTGTAAGAAAGATTCGCCAACTCTAACTTTGTAATATCGATCTGTCAGGAAATCATCTATCCAACGAAGTAAAGTACCGCGAACTCCGAAATGTTCTAGTTTATGTAGAAGTCTGCGCTTAGGTACAAGGTCAAAGGCTTCGGAAAAATCTAGATAAACAACGTCGACCGGCTGCGAAATGTTAAGGGATGAGGTCCAGTTGTTAACACAATGTAGGAGATTGGTTAGAGTAGAGCGACCAGAGACAAATCCATGTTGTTGTGTTGGAATAACATGTTCCTGGAGAAGGAATTTGGTCATCTCCTCGGAAATAATAGCTTCCATAACTTTGGCAACTACTGGCAGCAAGCTAATCGGACGATAATTGTTGGGGTCGAGTTTGTTGCCTTTTTTAAAAATAGGAGTAACGGAAGCTAATTTCCAACTAGGGGGTAAGGAGTTTTGGATGAAAGAGGTTTGCATAATTAACGTTAAGGGTATTGCAAGCGTGTCTGCGCACCTTTTTAACAGTTTTGGTGTTAAACCATTTAAACCAGGTGAAGCGGGCCGTGCGAAGTTTAATTAAGTGTTGTTTGACATGATCCACTGTGAAACTCAACTTGTTGTAAGGACGCGCCGACACGATTACAGTTAACAGCAGGTAGATAACCATCATTTAATTCTTTAGTAAAAAACCTGTGAAAATGCTAAAGAGAGAGTTTCGGAAGATTATTGTCAGAAGAGCATAAAGTCTGGTTGGATTTTTGAAGTAGCGGGATGGAAACTTTAGATGTCATGGAGGAACGTATGTATTTATAGACTTTTTTAATGTTACCACTTTCAATAACGTTTGCTTCATAATTTTGTCTTAGGGTTTTTAGAGATGTTTTTAAGTTATTTGAAAATCTGCGGTGGCTTTGGAAATCACTAAGAAGCCCGGTGTGTTTAAATTTTCGCCATAGATGTCGTTTGTGATTAATTTGTTTAATTGCTGTTCGATTTATCCAGGTTTGAGGTTGTTTTAATAACTCTTACGGAAAATAGTATTTGTAGAAATTATATTGTGGACTTTATCGAGAAATGCAATCCACATTAATGAGGGGTCGTTTAAGTCTGCAAAAAATAAAGGCCAGTCGATTTGAGAGAGTTCAGTGTCAACTTCAGAAAAGTCGGTAGTAGCATATGTTACAATGTTATTTTTGCGGGGTAATATTTGATTGAACTGGATGTGAGCCGTTATAACTGCATGATCTGAATTTCCTATGGGAGAACTGACTTCGAGAGATGAAATCAGCTTTTCGTCATTAATAAGCACTAGATCTAAAGTAGAAGGTTGGTTATTATTTCCAAATCTAGTAGGTTCTATAATGAGTTGTATCAGGTTTGAATTTACTACAAAGCTTTTAAATAAATTATGAGCGTTTTCGGCATCAGATAATGAAGTTATTGGCCAGGTGATCTCTGGGAAATTAAAATCTCCAGTAATGATAAGATTATCAAGAGATGATAGTTCTTCAAGTTTTGTGAAGAAAACATTATCGTGTGCAAGTAGTGTATTGCCGATGTTGCCGATTTTAACGCTTTATGTAGTTTGCAATATCTGTTTTTTTTCTTTTCTGTCATTTTCGGTCGCAGGTATTGGTTACATATTTCTATCCTAATATAAATTAAGTTAGTTGGTGCCAAATCAGAGTCGAAATTGGATATGACTCAACTTTAAATTATGTAGACCTTTAGACCCCTCATTGTAGTGTTGAATAATGAGTGTCTTTGGTGTTTATTTTGGTTATCATAATAGTATGAGAGCGACATATCCGGTTTTTGGACTAACTCCATACCATTTTTTGCATGTTTCGCGAAAAACTTTAATTGATAATGGACGTCTTCAGATTTTGTCTTTTGTAGATTCCGTGAGTACTTCTAAGAAACAGTGATAATTAGGTTTGACTCTTCTACATCATAAGTCAGGATCCTAATTGTGTGGTAGCAACAAATTGGACTATGATTCAAGAAGCAAACAACGTTATTATTTGAGTTAGTGACAAATGTGGTAAAAGCAATACCGTTAGTTGTTAGTTACCTGACATGCCACCGTGATAGCCCAGACTCTGATCATCCCTCGCTCTTGGTCTTTGATCATGCGCAAGGTGATGATGATGGTGATGGTGAGGATGGGGCAAGGTGTGAGTCTTGTGGGCCATGTTAATCCCAGTCTGGGCAGGCATTTGCATTTCGTAAGTCGGGTACGCACCTGGATAATCCGGTTGGTGTTCGATTAAATATGAGTTGCTGGTGGGTTTTCGTGTTTCGTCCTGAAAAAAATATAAATTAATTAAATTTGCTACTGTTGACAATGTAAATATTTTGTATATTAGTATAACCGGCATGTAAACAACATTCAACAGTTAAAAAATTCAATTGCAGCCAGACTTAGTGGCCAGGCTGAGTAGAACTAAATCCCTTAGACCATTAAAACTTATAGATACGCCGTATGCTATACCCCCGTTACTTAGAGTGAAGCCAACATAAATTGCTTTGCGCAGCTATGCGTGATGTCAGTATATGGCAGAAAACGTTAAAAACTAGAAGTATTTACATGTGTTTTATATACTTAACACTTATAACAATTTATAAGTGTTAAGTTCCAATTTAATACTTTTCCAATACATTATTATTTTTTAATTATGGTATTATCTTGCAGTGCATTTAATTGTACGTAGCGGTACAAAAAGGGGTGAGATATATCATTTCAGTGGTAAGTAAATTCATAAATTAAAGTTGGAAAACCTACCAGAAATTTAGCATCTGTTAATTTACTTTTCTCTTCCAGTGTTTAAAATAGATACATATATGAGAGTCTTATATAATTTTTATTTTATAATTACGTTGAAAACTAAAGGATAAAGCAAATAAATTGTTTTAGATTTCCTAAAGATTCATTATTGCAAAAAAATGGATTATAGCGATGCGCCGTGAAAATTTTAAACCATCAAATAGTTCTAAAATTTGCTCCAAGCATTTTACGGCGGATTCGTTTATTACTAGGGGATGGAGTTCTAAAGAACAACTCAAAAAAGATGTTGTACCTAGCATTTTCAATTTTCCAAACTGTCTAATTAAGCAAGTTAAAACTAGAAACTTTTCTGTAAAAAGAGAAACTGATCAGACAAAACAATAGGATCTAAAAGTGAAAATATAAAATATAACAACGAGTGAATCTACTATCATTAAGACTCATACAAAATTTCCAGAGGAAACTACCTTAGAACCTCTCTTGAAAAAGCGAAGACATTATCTTGGTAACTTTGGTAAACAAGGATCATCTAACAGAGATCAGGAATATAAAGTGGTAGTAAACGAATTATTTCAAAAGAAAATAAACAAATCAAAATGTTGCAACAACAAAATATAAGGCTTGTTAAAAAAGTTAATACTTAAAATCTTTACTATAACATCTTAAAGAAAAGCAGATGATCGTAAAATTAAGAAAACATTAGATTGTGTGTTTGTGCACATATGCTTGTGTGCAATTGAAAGTGATAACTTACAATCACCATTCATAAGACACAAAAATTATAGTATATCTAATAATTGTTTAATTCAACCTTTCAAAGATGTTATTCATATTTGCAAAATTGGTGAGAGTGAAATTAGAATTATGTATGATTCAAAAAAATTCAATGATTCAAAATTAACGACAAAATTGATCTTAAATATCATGAGTAATGTGCATAATTCAGTCTTTATGAATACAAAGAACATATGTATGATCATGATTTTCAAACTAACCATTTATTTAATCTAATAAAGATAATTTGTTTTCATTATTGCAATATAAGATTGTACCATGAAGGTGAGAAACTAAATAATAATATAAATAGACTTAGAAGTAAGTTAACAAAAACTATTTTATTTTGTGGTCAATAAATAAATTTATATACATAATTTTCCCCTAAAATGTATCTTCCACGCATAAGTAAAATGTCTATCCTTTAAATTTATTTTTCATTATCAAAGCGGTAGGTACACTTTCAAATAAACATTTATTTCTACAAAATTACTTTAATTCAAAAATATTCATTAATTCCTTTGCTAAATTATTTATCTTCCATATTCCATATTCCAATTTTATTAGGGATTTTCTAAAAATCTAACCTAATGTTAAGAGTTCTTGCCATAGTGTGACGTCACTTCAGAAGGAGTTGGCTTCAACAATTCGGAACAATATAAATCCTATGTTGGCTTTTAACTGTTTTTTTAATGTCAACTGACAAGTGTCATTAGAAAAATATATCAAATATCATATTAAAAATTGTAATTAAATTACACAAATTTTAGTTTGAATGATTGTATTGCATAGGTACATGAACTTAGTGAAGGTCAAACTGGTCAATTAACAGGTTATCTGCAAAAACAATAATTCAAATAATAAAGTTACTACAAATACATTAAACAAAACATCTTTGCCACTCTATCTCTGTCAATATATCAATATACTTACCAAATACTCATTGTTGCCTTCTTCATTACTGTATGTTTCGCTCTTTTCACTAACAGACGAAAGAGTTTCTCCTGTGACGGTGTCATTGTAGCTGCTTGGGGCGTACATCTCTATTGTTGCGGATTTACTGGTTTGATTGTTTTGTTCTAAAGAGGAAAATAAGCCAAGATATTAATTACTGTTGTCGAGAGGTATTATTCTTGGAAAAAAAGTTTAAAAGGTAAAAAAACTAAATTTAAATATGATTATGAACATGTTTCATGATACACTGAACTTGAAACTTCGCAATTATCTATATATATATATATATATATATATATATATATATATATTATATATATATATATATATATATTGATGCGACGGCTTTGCTAGTAGGTACTCATTCGACCAGCAAATCACCCACATAATTATGCCTTACGTAATGAGTTTACCTCAATTTTCACTCTAAACCTGAACAGTTTTGCCTTTTACATGCTCTTAAAATATAAAATACATAGACACCATCTATGTAAACTAAATCTGTGGGTGAAGATTGTAAAAAGGACATTTGTTAAACATTTATCGGACCTTTTTTAATAATTAAGGAGCGACAATCTCCCCTAAGTACCTCGACTAGCAGCTTTATTTTATTAGGTATGAAATTTTTTTCGTTTCTTGTTGTTTATTAGTATAAATAAACGATGAAATCTTAAATCATCGTTTACTTTAGTAAGGAATGTTTTAAAAATATAATTTGTGGAAGATTTAACTATAGAAATGTTGGATTAGCCTATGGACCCAAAATTTGTGTATAGTCCAACCATTTAGCGTCTGTATGGGCATCATTTAAGACTTATGTAAATGATACACAAATCTGTAAGACAAACTTATTTTCTTGGTAAGACTTCATCATCATCATCTTCGTGCTACAGCCCTTAGAGGGCCTCGACCTTCTCAAGCTTTCTACGCCATTCTGTTCTGTCCCTTGCTTGCATTTTCCAGTTGCCGACTCCGATCTTCTCCGCATCTTGTGTTACCCCATCCATCCACCTCAGCTTTGGTCTACCCCGTCTTTTCATTCCCACGGGTTGCGCTGTTAGAATCTTTTTTATGATGTTCGATTCAGAGGCCCGGGCTACATGTCTTGTCCACTGCAGGCGGTTTCGCTTAATTATAGTGGTAATATCTTTACCACCAAACGTATGCTTGTAGATATTCTGCAGTCCAAAGTTATATCTACGCCTCCATATTCCGTTCTCATAGACCGCTCCGAATATTTTGCGTAGCATCTTTCTTTCTAAAATCCATAGAGCCGATTCATCTGTTTTAGTTAGCGTCCATGCCTCTGATCCATATGATATGTGAGAACGGGGACTATCAGTGTTCTATACAGCCTTATACGAATTTTTTGAGACAGTCGTTTGTTAGCTAAGTACTTTGATAGACCATGATAACACCTATTTGCAATTATTATTCGCCTTTTTATTTCCTCAGATGTGTTATTATTGGGGTTAACCGATGTCCCTAGATATATGAACTCTTTGACTGCTTCGAAGTTTTGGTCATTGATGATTAAATCTGCGTCATTTCCAGGTCTTGTGTTTGTGTTAGTCGCCATGAATTTGGTTTTATTTTGATTTATATGTAAATCCATTCGTTCTGCTGCTGCTACTAGCTCGGTTAGGATTTCAGCAGTTCTCGCCCTGGTTCTTGTTATAATGTCCACGTCGTTTGCATATGCTAGAATTTGGAGTGATCTATTAAATATTGCTCCAGTGTTATCTAAATTAACGTCTCGTACAACTTTTTCTAAGGCGACATTAAAAAGCTGACACGCCAGCGCATCTCCCTGCCTAAACCCCCTATGTATTTCAAATGTGGTTGACGAGTCGTTTTGAATTTGTACTGCTGATAGCATCTTCGCCATTGTCACTTTTATCAAACATATGAGTGTTTTGAAATTCCTAACTCATTCATAGCCTTGTAAAGACTTGGTCTTAAGACACTGTCATATGCTGCTTTAAAATCGACAAAAATATGATACATATCTATGTTAAACTCTTGCGCTTTTTCGAGGATCTGTCGTAGTGTAAAGATCTGGTTAATGGTTGAACGTCCACGCCTGAATCCTGCCTGATATTCTCCTAAAAACATTTCAGTATAAGGCTTTAATCTCTTGTGCAAAATATTTGACAATATCTTGTAGGCTGTATTTAGGAGAGTTATTCCGCGGTAATTATTGCATTCCAGAGGGTTTCCCTTTTTGTGTAACGGGCAAATTAAGCCTAAGCTCCATTCTTCAGGCATTTGCTCCTCAGACCAAATTTTGTAAACAATTTCTCGCATCACATTGGTGAGCTGCTCTCCACCGTGCTTAAATAAATCTTCTGGGATGCCATCGCTGCCTGGAGATTTGTGGTTCCTTAGTTTTTCTATAGATATTTTCACTTCATCTACCGAGGGGGGTTCCAGGAGTTCCTCATTTCGGTATTCCAACTCTATATTGTTAGTAGGTTTCCCTTCTAGCAACTCTCGAAAGTGTTCTACCCATCGTAATAGGATATCCTCTTTGTTGGTAAGTAAGTTACCTTCCTTATCATTACAATAGTTGATTCTTGGTTTGAATTCTTTTCTAATAATATTTATTTGATGATATAACTTTCTTGTTTCTCCGTGACTCTTATGGCTTTCCAGTCGTTCTAATATATCATTTTTCGAGTCTCGTTTATTTTTTCGGTGTATGCGTTTGTCGTCTCTCCTTAAGTTTTTGTATCTATCTATTGTCGTCCTAGTTTTCAGTTGTTACATGGTTCTAAATGCCTCGTTCTTCTCCTCGTTCTTGTTAAGACTGGTGACAATTGTGTTGCTTATGTAACCATTAGCTAACTGTTGATTATGCAGAGCAGCTATAACCAGAAATATAGCAAATTTACATGTCACTAGTGTCCCCACCTTCAAAAATATTTATCACAAGCTGTCAAAGCAACATTTAGTAACGATTGACGTAATGTTTTCTTTTTTTTAAGCAACTTGATATTTACACTAAATATTTCCGTAAAATCCTCATATACATATCTACTAAAATTATCTAGTTATAAAAATAATTAAAAAAAAACAAAAAAAAACAAACCTCTAATTCTTTTAGCTCTCCTCTTAAGCATGCATCCCGCAACTAAGGCAATATTAATAAACAAAAGAATAATGCCTATCACCGACACACTAATGATAACAATCCTAGGCAAGTCTTGCTTCTCTAGAAGTAGATCTTCCGGTATAACTTTCTGCACACCGTCTTCGACAAAAACTAAACAAAAAATAAACAAAAGTAATTATTAGTATTTTTATAAATTACCTGTAACTCGTTTCTTAGATTTTCTATGTAGACAACAACCAATCAAAAGGACGTTCATTAGAATTAGAAGGATTCCGATTATGGTTCCCAGGATTATGAGAAATCCGGGAAAGTTTTTAATATTTCTTTCGTCCAGACTTGAGGAAGTGTACGAAGGTGGGACTTCGTCTGTTAGTAGTTGGCAATCGTAGGCAAGGAAAGCATGTAATTGAGTTAGTAAACAGTTATTTATAAATACTAAATAATCATGGTCAATCTAACGATTCAGCATTTAAATGTAATTATATTTATTATTATACATTTGTTATATAAAAAATTATAGCAATTGTAACACGTTGTAGCTAAGTTGACCATAATTTAAAAAATCATGAAATAGCCGTCGACATCAACATCATACCCGAAGAATCTTTGTTATACCAGATTCGGTGTATGCTGCCAAATGCTGGGCTATCAAAGAAAAAGATAAAAGATAAAAGGCTCATAGATGCTTTCAAAGGTCTTCGAGATGTGGGTGTTTAAGAAAACTCCTGAACATATAATGGACAAACCGTGTCACTAACGAGACAGTTAACATTATCAAAAAGCGCAATACCAGTTATCTAAGACATGTATACCGGGAAAGGCATTACGAAATGTTGAGGTGTTTAAAGGGTTGCGATGGGGAAGGTGGCTAATTAACCCTTTCATTACTGTGAGACATATATGTCCCTGCAGATTTCAAAAAAATTCCTTACTTATTAAGTACCTAGCAGTATGCAACCTACATAACTTGTATCTGTAACCTATAAATTTATGTTAACTAAACACATGCATCAACATCTCGAAAAAAATACAATTTTAGTAAAGAAAAAGTGGCTGCTCTGTTTTTTTCAACCGATTATATATAATTTACTTGCTGATTAACACAGGTTAGTAATATTGCTTATTTATGATATTGTTTTCATTGATTTTACCATAATTTCTAAACGGGACCCTAGTGATCCAGTGGTAGTTTATACCAGGTCGTATTTATCACATACATATTATTTGGTTGCAGACTTACTATGGCACGTAGACGTTTTCTAACACAAAAAGAGCTTCGACAAGAAGTTGAAAACCTCTTAAATATATCTGAAAATTAATCCGAGAGAACCTTATGCTGTCTCAGGGTCTGATTATGTACCTGGTGACGATTCTGCCTCAGATTTTGATAAAGTACCTGAGAATATTCCTGACCGTGCGGATGTAAACATCACTGCTTCCGACGAAGAAAGTTTTGATAACGCGAAAATATCTGAATATGAGTCTTAAAGAAATAAATTGAATGCACAATAGACTATACCAAATACAAACTTTTGTCCGAAAAAAGAAAATTCTACCCAGAGTAGATTTTGCACTTCGTACAATCTACTAAACACCCAAAATTGTTCATGTTTAGGAACCTATATGGCCTATCGGGTAAACGTAGCCAAATTTGAAAATAACAAAATGTTAAGGAGTGATATGAAGTTTTTAATTTCATCCGAAGGAATTTTAGCGACTAAATGAAAAGATGCGAAAGAAGTGATGTGTCGTCCAATTGTCACAGTACAACTGTTGGAATTATTAACAGAAAGCTAAAAACTGGAGAAAAAACTAAGTTCCCTTCTTCAGAAGCAATTATTTTTTCAATAATTTTATGGTAGAGTAGATCTCGCCGATCAAAACGTTTATAATTTGGAGCAAAAATCTGCGAAAAGGTGGAGAAAAGTTTTTTTTATAGATTAGTTATGTAGGTTATTGTAAATTCTTGGATTATTTACAAGGGTGAGCATAAAAGAAGATGATACAAAATTTTCAGTTTTGAATTTTCTGGTGCCACTAGCAGAACAGCGAATTAAATTTGAAAGATCGAAATCAAATGTAAAAAGACAAATAAGTGGGCCTGGAAGAATATCTATACGACAGAAACAAATGATCAACGTTGGAGACCATTTGCCTCAACGGCTCAACAAATACCTACTAGGAGAAGGTGATTTAGATGTTCACAATATAAATTAGAAACTCGAACTACGACTATTTGTACAGCGTGAAATGTGTCTCTATGCAAACTTTGTTTTCTACCACATCACTCATAAGAAGTAATATTTTTTTGTGTAATGTACTTTTTTATTTTGAATATGTTTGTTTCTTTACTGATGGAATTTACTTATCCCACCATTCAACACTAATGGGACATATATGTCCCATGACCTTGTAAGGATACAAGGACACGCAACAATGTAAAAAAATCAATCGCTTTATTAGGTCTTTAGATATCAACGGGTATTATTAAAGTCATTTTAAACAGTTTTATTTAGCTGCAATGAAGTCAGTAATAAAGGGTTAAAGGAAGCTGAGGTCCAGGTAAGAGAGATATTTACGATTGAAAAACGTCAGAATGGACGAATCTAAATACTCAATTCTTATTGCGAGCCGCACAGGATAGGGAAAGATTTCACAAAATTGTTGCCGATCTTCAAAAATGAAGACAAATAGATGCTTTAGAGATATTCTCTTAATGATTCTAAGTGTTCGTCTCCACGAACAACAAATGAGTCAATACTACGATAACTAAACACCAAGAAGAAACTAAGTAACAGAACAAATATTAGGTTATTTGAGCATGTTTTTGAATGCATGATCTCGAGAAGATTACCAAACACAGAGAGCTTGCAGGTAATAGAGGTACGAAAGGATTGCCTATATGATGCACGAACTACATTCTTGCATTTATAGAATGGCCTACAAGGCCCTTTTCTATTGAAAACATATATACTTTTAAATTATATTTATCTTCCTTCTGACTATTCAAGTGTCAAAATAATAATTTTGGATATGAAATCAGAATTTCCCTATACTTTAACTAGTTACCAAACAAGATCTCAATAAGTTAAGCATAAATGCAACAATGTCCTTACCTGAAGTCTTGGCTGACAGTAAATCCGGCATGTACTTGCTATTCCCCAGCTTATTCGACGCCATTATTGAAAAAACGTACTGCGTGTTGATATCCAACTCCTTGACAACATAACTGGTCACATTGCCTCCTACCACATCTTCATACTTATACCCTTCGTCGTCCACTTTCCTGTATCTAATTCTGAACGAAGCCTTCATACCTCCATCGAATCCGGGTGTCCATCCTAGAGTTACGCTGTCGTGAGTGACGTTTAGAACTGTTAAAAGTGTTGGAGTGTCTGGTGGTGATGTTACTTCTAGTCTGAGGGATTTGGTAGCGAAGCTTAATTCGTTCCTGGCTACGCATTCATAGTTGCCGTAGTCAGCAGAAGTGACATGGGTAATGAAGAGAGTTGATTCGGTTATGAGTTGGTCAATCTATAAAGAATTTACCATATAAAATAGCAATAACTTTAAAAATTCAATATCTTAGAATCTATTTTCCGTTAACATCCAATCTTCACAAGAATTCTTAAATTTTTCAAATACAACAGATCAGTTAATAAATTAAGGCTTCATTAATCATTGTCCTTTCAGTGCCTAATAGTTAGTTTATTTTCTTTGTAAGGTGTTACCTCTTGTGTTATGTGATTTATACATTTTACAATGACAACTTACCTGTTTGTATGTGCTGTAATATTTTCCAGTCGTATTCGAATTAATGGGAGATCCATTTCGAGCCCATGTGTATCTAGCAAGAGGAGAAGCCTGACTTCTGCAGATCAGTTTACCAGTGTCTCCAGCATCACTGGCGAATTTCATGAACTGGGGTCGGGTGTCGATTTCCGGCTTATCTAAAATAAAAATATTTATTACGTTTTTATATGTAAGTAGATATGGATTTGTATTTTCAGTTAATTTGAATTATTAAGCAATGTTATCCTACTGTAGTCGGGTTGTTTACCCTTAAGTATTAATCACAAAAACCTCAGAGGCACCTCCATACCACCAACATCATTTATTATTATATGGCGATATTTATTATTGCACTACGATAAAGGACAAGAACATTTCTTGGAAGAGCATAAATTGACTATATACAGTACAACATAAACTTGAGATGATGAAATCACAAATTCAAACAGGAAAAAACCACAATTTATATTAAACGCTAACATTAAGCAATATAGTGGATCAAAATATCTTTAAATTGATCAAGACATAGAAGAATGTTTAATGATAGACCTTGTGGCTAATAATGCAAAACAAACGTCATCTTTAAATGTGCTTATCTTCTAGCGATGTTGGCGACTACATTGATTCATCTTATTCTATTCACAGCAGCTCGAAATAGATCATATGACATTAGACCAGTCCACTTCCTAAGATTGGCCAACCAGGATGTACGTCTACGTCCAGGGCCTCTCTTAACCTCAATTTTGCCTTGCAGAATCAACTGTAGAAGTCGGTAATTTATTATTACGCATAATGTGACCGAAGTAAGCCAATTTCTGTTTTTTATGGTATTAATAATTTCTTTGTCTTTTCTTACCCTCTGGAGAATAGTTATATTACTTGTGTGGTGTATATATGAGACCCTCAACATACGTCGGTAGTACCACATTTCAAATGCCTCTAATCGTTTGTAATTCTCCTTTAGTATAGTCGTCATTTCTACCTTTTAATTTTTTTCGCTCTTCTATAATCTCCAATATTTTATCTGTCATCCATTCTTGCTTCTTTTCTTATTTTGATTTTAGATATTTATGTGAAATTGTGGTAATAGATGTCCTCATTTCATTCCACTGTTCTTCTATGCCTCTAGTAGTGTCTTCAACTATTTTCGCAAAATTCTTATTAATCTCTGTTTTTACTTTTTTTTGGATGTCATTTTCTTTTAGTAGTCCTGATATCTATCTTGGCCCTCATTTTCTTATGAATTATTTTGGGTCGTAGTGATATTGCACAATATGAGAGAAGACATCTGCGCCCTTATGTTTTTGTTGGGGTGATATAATGTTGATAAAATCATTTCGGTTTCTTATGATTTTCAATGGGTATCACCGGGTGCTTTCCATGAAAGAAGCCTTCTTGGGTGTAATTTAAAAAGTGTATTTGTTACAACCATAATCGTGTCTTCGCAGAATTAAATCAGTCTTTCTCCTCTTTCGTTTCTTATACCAAGACCATATGACCCCAAGACATCATCGACAAAACAAACTATTGTAGAAAATAAATTGGGTTGGTATGAAGATAAGTAGGAGAATTTTATTTAAAAATTCTTTATAAAATGTATATAATTAAAAATACCCCCTCGGGCTACATCAGAGAACGTTTTAGAACTAAAAAGTCCATCATCAGTGTATTATTGCCAGGTATACATGAGTCAAGCCACTAAATATCTGAGTAAAAACCCTTAAAAAGGTACAAAATGCTCCAGTCCCAGTTTGGACTGGTGTAAACAAAGAGAAACTGTTCTTTGTTTCAAGTTAAGAAAATAACATTACGCTTATGGAGATCAGTGTTGCCAAAACTCTCAGACACTCTCTTTTGCACGGATGTCTAAGATATTCGCTTTGCTTAATTTTTGAGTTTTCATTTTCAATTAACATTTAACTGTAAAGTCAGAATAACTACTAAATAAAAGCCTTATTATCATTATGTAGTCAGAGAACGACATAAAATAGCTGACATACGCACATCGTATTATTTTAAGTTGCAATTAGTAATTAGATATACGCATTCCAAGCGGTCAATATTTTCTACTGATTTCTATGATTCATGGCATATCGTATTCTCACCGAAAAACAAATAAACTGTCGTTACTATAATTAAAATAAGATAAAATAAAATTATCTTTTGTAAATACTATTTATCTAATTAAAATCATTTTCCCTACTTTTCATCTCTTGTTTCGAATGGGCACTTTTGGTCAATTACGTTAAAAAACATTAATTTAATTCATGTTTGTGGAAACAAAAATACAAATTATACAACCCTAAATTGTGCTTGTGAGTGTCGTGGCAACGCTGCGTTGCTATCGTCCATAAGAAATACATGGCCCTATCTCCGCAATGTTATTTTCTAAACGTGGAACGTAGTATAGAATACATGATATTATGGCATAAGAAACTATTAATTTCGACACTGAAAATTTAACTTCACACAACCTTAAGAAAAAAGGCAGAAAATATGGGATATAAAATCAGAATGGCAAAGAGGAATGAGGATTAAGTTAGCTTAAGACCATTGATTAAAATCCAACCATGTATCAAGGAGAACAACGCTAAGTATTTATAAGAGAGTAATAAGACCCATAGTCACATACGCAAGAGACCTATAGGCTATGGAAAAGTCAGATTTTTAGCTTAATGCGGACGAAAAATAGCTGAGATAGTTAGGTCAGACTACAAACAATGACTGAAACACTCTTCAGGAGCCTATCAAGAGCTATCAAAGCCTTTATCAAAGCACACCAATAAGATTGATGGGACATGTAATGAAGTTGGATGGGAGCAGAATGTCAAAGATGGTGAAGATCCAATAGCTAAAAGAGTAAAGGAGGGACCTACCCAAAGCTAAGCGTGAACATTAATTCCAGTCATCTATACTTATTTAATAAACAATTTATTTACCAAAAAATATTCGTTATAAAAGTTATTATTATTATTCTTATTGAATGTTACATAATTTAGTAATATAGCAAATCTCATAAAATTTATTCGCGGTTAAAGCACTCCCAATGCGATGAGTTGCTGTTTGCTTTAGGAAAACTTCTTTTATTACATATAACAAAGAGGTATTCGATTTTATATTTTCCTCTTAAAACTTAAGCAGAAACCCTTGTAACACCTCGATAAAGAGAGTAGGGACGATAACGTTGCCATATTTTACTCCTTTGGCGATCCTACGTTCTGATAAAGTTTAAAGTCTGAATTTTAGTTAAAGTATGAACAGCAAAAACTAAACTATTATAAAGCTTTACTGCTAGTACATTGGAAAATTGAGAAGTTTTATCAGGGTAATAAAAGCTTTACGGTAGATTTTAAAGTTTATAAAGGAAATACTTACGTTTAACAATCAACATAACTTCTTTAGACGACGAGTTTCCAACTCCATTATTAACGATACACAAGAAATTTCCAAGATCTTCCCTCGTCACACTCGATATTCTAAGGTACGAAGTCCCATTTTTGTCGTACATGACGGAGGTTCTGGCTGCAAAGTCGGGAAAATCGTCCCGTTTCCAAGTGATTGTGTCGTCAGCCAGAGGGTTGCCATCGGCGGAACACGAAAGAGTAGCGTCTTCCTTGGGGTTGGCGATTACGTTGCCGCTGGTTTGAACGATTGAAGCCGGATCTGGAAAACAATGTAATATTATCTATCATGTGTTTCCAATCTATGCACATTTTTTTATTTCACATTTATATTACTAACCCAACATGTTTGTTTACAATATGTCTGTTCGAAAAAAATGTCTGACACTATTTTTTGATGAAAAGTCTTATTAGTTCAACCCGTTTCTGTCAAATTCTTCATGTAATAAACTGTCATAATACTTTTCGATCGCTTTTTGACATTTTCTTCAAGGTTTAAATTATTTTTCTTATGTTATTAAATACATGTGTATCACATTTACGCGACATCCGTATATATATATATATATATATATATATATATATATATATAATATATATATATAAGGGTGAGTCATGAGGAACTTTACATACTTCTACCATAGTAGAGTCCCTCAGGAGCATATCATGTGGCCACTAAAAAATGTCAACTCCTCTTCTTTATTAATTAAAAGGGTGATTTGTGTAATTGACCATTTATTTCATTTTACTGTAGTGTTTATACGACTCATTTGATTTTTTTAATTTTTGCATGATACAGTACACTACTATCAAGCATTCGACTGGTATTAGCTAAACTAAAAAATTCCAGGACTGGCTTTGGAAAAATTAATTTAGGGATTCGTATTAAATATTACACCCTGTATATATAATATATTTTTATAAATGCAATAAGTGATTTTCAAACTACATAAATAGCCAATGAAAACGACATATGCGACAATGTTGTCGCACTTTTATTAAATTTTTAGTGAACGATCAAATCTTACCAAAAATAGAACAACCATAATGAAGTATCAAATTATAAGGTAATTAATTTAAACAAATGTTATAAATTTCAAACATTTTAATTGAAATGATAAACTGAGTCACTGCACAACAAAAAACAGTAACTACTAACAATAACGAAGAACAATTAAAAAAAAACTAAAAATATGTACATAGTTATGATAAACCCATAAATTAGAACTGGAAAAGATACAATAATGGTAACAAAATAAAAATAATTCAAAATAGATTTTCGAAATGGAACCCTGCAGCCTGTACACATTTTTGTTGCCGAATTGTTAATTGACGTATTGAATTACGGATACTCTGGGGATCGTTTCTAATAGTATTACAACAATGTATAATTCTATCAATTAATTGTTGTCGGTTATTAATATTCACTGCGTAAACTAGTTGCTTCAATCGTCCCCAAATATGGTAATCAACGGGATTGAAATCAGGGGATCTTGAAGGCCACGAAATAGGACCTGCACGTCCTATCCACCTGTTGCCATAAACATTATTGAGATGTTGTCTCACTGCCAGTAAAAAGTGTGGGGTGCCCCATCATGCTGAAAATACATCCCTCGGATAGCAACGTTCGCGTTGGCAAGCAAATTCGGCAAAATATTTTGTAGAAAGTTCAAATAGACCTGCCCTGTTAAAGGACCATCAAAAAAGTGAGGACCTACTAATTGGTTATTTATAACACCAATCCACACGTTAACCGAAAACCTTAACTGAGAACGACGTTCTCGAATAGCATGGGGATTTTCTTCTGCCCACACATGTGAATTTCGTGAATTATTTATCCCGTCTCTGGTAAATTGGGCTTCATCTGTAAATAGTGTCCTGTATAGCGTTGGTCGATTATTGTTAATCCATCTACAAAATTCCAACCTATCGATCTCATCTCCAGCATGTAGTCGCTGAAACCATTTGAATGTGATATGGGTATAGATTATTTTTTTGTAAGACTCTACTTACTTTTGATTGAGTAACATTGAGTTCTCGACTTACTTGTTAGTGCTTATTGTAGGGTTCATAGTAACGGCGTCCATAATGTCATCTTCCTGCGCTTCATCTACATGTCGCTCTGTTGTTCCACTAGGAAAAGTGCCATTTTCTCGCAATGTCGCATATGTCGTTTTCATTGGCTATTTATGTAGTTTGAAAATCACTTATTGCATTTTAAAAAAAATATATATACAGGGTGTTATATTTAATACGGATCCCTAAATTAATTTTTCCAAAGCCAGTCCTGGAATTTTTTAGTTTAGCTAATACCAGTCGAATGCTTGATAGTAGTGTACTGTATCATGCAAAAATTAAAAAAATCAAATGAGCCGTATAAACACTACAGTAAAATGAAATAAATGGTCAATTACACAAATCACCCTGTTAATTAATAAAGTAGAGGAGTTGATATTTTTTAGTGGCCACATGATATGCTCCCTGAGGGACTCTACATATGGTAGAAGTATGTAAAGTTCCTCATGACTCACCCGTATATATATATATATATATAGTATATATATATATATATATATATATATATATATATATATATATACAGATGTTGCTTAAATGTGATAAACATGTATTAACATAGATTAAAAGATTGAAATAGTTTTTTTCATTTTTTATTTCTCCTTGACCGATATCCTTATTTACAGTGAGATTTTAATCTCACTCACATTGTGTATTTAAATTTAGATGGTCTAAATTTAGAAGTAATATATATTATATATATATATATATTATATATATATATATATATATATATATATATATATATTACTGCCCATTTTAATTGAACATGAAGTAATACTTTATTTTTGATAGGTCTTTAAAAAAAGTTACTTTACGTTGAATGTATGTAGTATGCAGTGAACTGGAACATATTTTTCTTAGTTATAATAGCGACACATTAAAAATATCAAAAAATTATTTAAAAAACTTAATAGAAGCTGCAAATATGTAAATTTTAGCGAAGATGTAAAATTACTTTTTTTTAGATGTAAAATGTATTTTAAAATACGATTTCTAAATAAAAATATTCAAGATAATTCAATATCCGCCAGAGAAAAATCACAAAGATTGTAAAATAAATGTCTAAATGATATTCATAAAGTCTCAAGCATTACCCGCTTTTCCTTTATGGTCAAATTCTTTACATTTTACCGGCCTTTTATATTTAATTTGTGTTTTGTAACAATATTTATTTTGTTTGTAATACACACAATCAAATCGTAGATGCATATATTTCTTTAATTAATTTTACAAATTACTCGTTAATTTTCAAAACCACGTTTTTACAAAAAGTAACCAGTTATGATTTCTTAGTGCAAGATATAGCATCGAGGTATACTTACTGTTAACAGTTTAAGTTTCGAAGTTTGTAATGGAACAACGTTGCCATATGATGCATCGTTAAAATATGATACACACAAGTCCCCTGGCTTTGTCTCGCTATGACGTCATGCGCAAAGTCGATTAAAATTAGAACGGCAAGTAAGCATATCTTGTTAATATCATGGTGTGCTGTAGTATCATTCACAATAAAGTTGGCAATAATATTCAGATTTTACCTTTTAAATGTCGTAAAAAAGACATACCTATTACTGATAATGTTAAATATTTAATATATATGTTACTTACATTGCACAGTAATGTTAACCATTGCCACGTTACTCCCTTGAGAATTTAAAGCTTCACAGGTGTAGGTACCAGCATCGTTCCTGCTTAATTTGGTAATATTTAAAACTGAACCATCGGACACTATTCGTTCGATTCCGTTCGAAGAGCTTTGTTGCGTTATAGGCAGACCATCTTTGGTCCAGGTGTATGCTATATTTGCGGGGTTGCCTTCTGCTTTTAACGAGATGATAAGGGGTTCGTTCTCTATTCCAGTTACGGATTCTTCGTTGTTGGAGTCGAACACTGGTTTATCTACAAAAAAAAATATTCAATCTTAAATCATGGCTAACGGATTTGATAAATCAAGTATCTTAGTAATTAAGTAAGACTTATGTGAATTACTAAACGAATAAGCTGATTATTACTGTTATAATTTAAGTAAGGTGAAGTGCTCCTTCTAGTTTGAATACATCAAGAGACCAGGAAATATGTACTTTAGGAAATATGCACCAATAAACGTCTGGCCATCAACAATTATACTTTATTCCTTCTTACATACAGAACCATGGACGTATAAACATAGATGGACACAGCAATAAGTATACCTTTAACACACAATGTTTTGAAGGTTCGATGGAATGTGATCCTTCCGCAATGAGCATAAGCGTGCTTGAATTTTTACTCGCGGGTAATTATTCAGATTTTAAAAATTGGAAGTAGTAAGAATGTATAAAAAACACGTTCAAAGAATTAAAAAAAAAACGAGAGTTTAACTATTAACAAATCACGTCTTTATAGAAAAATTAAAATACAATTTTATTTGCTTTAAAATTAATACAATTAAATATAGTTGAATTCAAGTTAATTTTTTAATAGGTATCAAAATAATGCTACAATAAAAAAATCTTTGTTTTCTCCTAAATTTGCTACCCAAATAGTTCGATCGTCAATATTATTTGGAAACCTACATAGAAAAATGAGTTTTATTCATTTCACTAATTTATTTGTATCCATGAGAAATATTAAATTAAAAAGGTGCTAAACAGATCTTTTTAATCAGATGATGTCTACTTACAATTTAAAAATGTCTAATTAATTTCATGAACTCATATCTTATTCAATACATTAATGAACATGAATAAACCCAATGGTACGCCTATTAAAATGTAAACAAACACGCTTCCTCATTTCTCATCTTAAATAATGTAAATTGTATGTACTTACAAATGAAATGAAAGATCGGGATGTAAATATTTCGTTTATTTTATTTCACTTTTCACAAATATCACTCAAAATACAGCCAAATATCGAAAAACAATTTTTCCTCATCTACTGTAAAAAGTAAACAAACATGCAACAGCATTTGAAGTTTGACGTAGATCCATAAGACAGAGAAATGTATTATTATAAATGATAATGCAGACTATGTGCACATTTGATATTTTGATTACAATTAAATATATTAATCTAACCAATAAATTATTATTTTGGTTTAATAGCACCTGTAGAGTATAAAATACGGAGTAATATTTTCAGTGACTCGCGAATAAGAAATTTTAAAACAAAACGTGACAACAGTTGAAGGTGCTGAGAATGTGACCTATTCAAATAATTTTGACTACACAATTTTATGTAAATAACTGAGTCCATCTGTGTTTATACGTCCATGTACAGAACAATACAAAACTTGACTGACAGTAGTTTATGACTTATTTTTGACATTACTCATTGAACTGTCAATAATGTCACTTCATATAGAACAACTATAGGACAACATCCACTTTTTATGTTGGATATTCTAACAATTACCTTTACGATATTTGAGCGGATGGGCGCCATTTTGGAAAAGAATTTTAAATAGAATTATACCTTAAGTAATAACTCATTTAAAAGATCTTGTATTAGTCAGTATGTTATTATACTTTTATGCGATTTAGACATACTCTGTCAAAATAGCGACCTATATATACTTCATTTGTTAATTTATTAACATCTGTCAAAAATACGACGTCATATAGATTTTTCTTGGATGTCAAAATACAGTAGCTGATAACATTATTTGACAGCTCTTGTGTTAGTATATTTCTAGAAACTAGAAATAACAATTGGAGAATGCACGAATCTGAAATGAAAAAGTTCCAGGAGTAAAACAAAGATTTAATGAATGTAGAATCACTGTTGAACGACTCTACAAGATAAATGTACCAAAGGAGGCTAGCACAGAAGATACAGCTGAAACAAATAGACGACATCGAAGAAATAAACGCCAGCTGGTAGAAAATTAAAAGTAACATTTAAGAAGCAGCAACAGAAGCTCTACAAAAACGAAAAGTCATACTGAACAAAAGAAACAATAACAATACACCATGGTTCAGAAAAGAAATAAAAGAGAAATGTAAAGAGAAACGAGAGGCCTACACGAATAAATGCCAACCTAAAACATCAAATACTCCAGAATCCCGGACACCTATAGAAGAATACGAAATGAAACAAAGCAGTTTTTTTCCAGAAAGGAAAATAATAATCAATACAATAACGTACCTGAATTAAGACACGAAATAGAAATCAGTTTTCAGGAAATAGAGATAGCCATAAATTCACTCAAAAATAGAAAGTCACCAGGAACAGACGGAATAACCAACGAGCTTCTAAAACACGGAGAAGAAAGTATAACCCTAAAGATGACAAAACTAATATTACACTGCAAGATACCAGACGCATAGAGCAACACCATAATGATACCAATGTTCAAGAATGGAGATAAATAAGACCCCAACAATTATAGAGGTATAAATCTACTAAACACCACATTTAAGCTTACCATAAAAGTCCTAACCAACAAAATCAATAAACTAACAACTTTTTCAGATGAACAACAATGATTCAGATCCGGAAGATTCTGCATAGACGCCGTATTTGTACTAAGACAAATCACAGAAAATGCCATCGAGTACAATAATCCAGCATATCTATGTTTTGTGGACTTGACAAAAGCTTTCGATCGCATCCAAGTCAAAGACGTCTTAAACCTACTGTATAAAAGAAACATACCAATCAATATTATACAAACCCTCGAAAACATCTACTTCCATAATCGAATACAGGCAAAGTCGAATTCTTATAGAAGATTTCAGGAATACTTTTAATATGCTTATTGCAAGTATCAAGCTGGTTACATAAATGGAGCCAAAAAACCTCGTTAACCTAATATTTAATTATGAAAACTTAAAAGTTAACTATTCATAAATGCCAACCTAATAAGAATGAGCCAAATGCGACAGAAATGGCTTTTTATAAAGTAAATGTAAATGGGTACTTACATAAAACTTGAAGAGTAATAGCATCATGTACAGATCTCTGCAATGCTTCATTATTCGCCTGACAAGTATAAACTATCCCATTCATCTGCTCCGTAACGTTTATTTTCATTTCTATGGTAGATACTGTACCGCCGTGGAGACCTTGTTTTGTCGTATTGGTGTACCCTAGAACAGGAATTCCTTCTTTCCACCAGGATAACTTGGCGGGCGGGTTGCTTGAGCTGGAGTCGCAAAAAAGTGTAGCTTCTTCATTGGGTTTTAGATCTTCGGGTTCTTGACGGATCTTTATATGGTCAGGAGGGACTAAAAATAAATGGAGCGTGTTAGAAATATAAATGAAAAGGCTTTGTAATATCTGACACCTAACTTTCAGATCTAATGTACTATCTAATATATGATACCAATTTAGAGAACTAAAGTTTACACAATTGTTTAACAATATATATATTGTTATCAATATATATATATATATATATATATATATATATATATATATATATATATATATATATTATATATTGTGGCTAAACATCCCAGACGAGGTTACGCCGCTTAAGCTCTCTAGATCTATGTTACGAGGTAGATCAGTCCTCATTTTCTTTATTTAATTTTTCCTGTTATTTTTTCTCCACTGTTTCCTATCTCTGCTTTTTCTCTCCATTGCCGTACGCCCGCCCTTTTGAGATCATTTGTTACTTCTTGTAGCCATGTAGATCTTTCTCCATTGTTTGTTAATAATATTCCCAAATACTTAAACTTTTCTACTTCTTCAAATATATATTCTCCCAGTCTAATTTTTTGTTTTCATATTTTTTGTCAAATTCATTATGTTCGTTTTTTCTGGATTTATTCCTAAGCCCATTACTTTCCCTTCTGCTACCAATTCTTTTAACATATTTTCCATTTTTTTCTGTTCTTTGTTATTATCACAATATCGTCGGCATATGCTATTATTTGTCCCTCTCTCGTTCTAAGTGTACCTTTGTTGATTTTTATGACTATATATTCCAGGGCAAGATTAAAGATAGTTGCAGATAGTGAATCTCCTTGACGTACACCTTTATTTATAACAAATTCTTCTGTGTCTCCTTCTTGTGTTTTTACAGTTACTACAGTTTTGCTCATTGTCATTTTTATTAATCGTCTTAATTTGTTGAGTATTCTCATTTCTCTCATAGCTGTAAATAATTTCGCTCTGTTTATTAAATCAAATGTTTGTTGGAAGTCTATAAAAAGCAGTTTAATGTCTATTTTATATCCATAAGCTTTCTCCATAATTTTCTTTACCGTATGTATGGCATCTGTTGTAGACTTTCCCCTAATAAGTCCGCATTGATACTGTCCTATGATATTTGAAGTCGCTCCTCCAGTTTTCGTTGTATTAAGGTTGACATGATTTTATACGCTGTGTTTAATAATGTCAGTCCTGTATAATTATTACACATTTATTGGTCTCCTTTTTTATGGATTGTGATAATTTGTCCTTTGTACCATTCTTCTGGCATCTTTTCTTCGTCCCATATGTTTTTTTAATTGGTATATTTTTTCTCTGAGTTCATATCCACCATATTTATAAGTTCCATGTTTATACCGTCTATACCTGGTGCTTTACCGTTGCGACTACTGTTTATAATTTCCTCAACTTCATCTTTCGTTGGTTTTTCTAGCTCGGTTTCTATCATCGTGGTCTCTTCTTCCACGTTTTCATTTAAGTCTTGGTCCTCTTGTACTGTTAATAATTATTTAAATAATCAGTCCAGATTTCTTTAAACTCTTTGTCATTTTCTAATACTTTTCCATTTCTATTCTTCATACCTTTTAACTTTCCTTTAAAGGTTTTGTTCTGCTCGCTAATTTTCTTATAAAATGCTTTTGTGTTTCTGTTTATGTTTCATTTTCTATTTCATTTATCTTATCATTTAACCAGGTTCGTTTCTTCTTCTTCTTCAAGTGCCCTCTCCATCAATGGAGGTTAACGGTTATGGTGGCAAACGTTTGTCTATCTTCAGCTGCTCTTAAGAGTTCCTAAAATCCAAGTCCTGTCCAGTTTCTGATATTACGTAACCAGGACAATTTTTTTCTTCCAATTCCTCGCTTTCCTTCTATTTTGCCTTTTATTATCAACTGAGGGATGTAGTATTTCTCGTTGCGCAACAAATGCCCTAAATAACTGGTTTTTCTTCTTTTGACTGTTCTCTATAGTTCTTTTTCTAAAGTCTTCAGGTTCGTTTAAGTTTCCTTATTTGTTTCTTACATTCTGTCCTTAATTTGTTGTATTCTTCTTTATATTCTTGTCTATTTGTTCTGATCCACTTTTGTCTTATTTCTATCTTCTTTTTTAAAATATAACAGTCTTGACTATACCATTCTTCTTTTTTGTTCTTTCTTTCTATCCCTACATGTTCAGAAGCTGTTTTATTTATACATTTTTTTATATTTCTGCATTCTGTTTCAACATCCTCTGTATGTTCATAGTATTCCTTCAGTTTTTTGCTTATATCTTCTGCATATTTAATTCTTCTATCTGTCGCATTCAGTTTTTCTATGTAGCAGTTGTACTTTGTTGTCTTGTTTTTTAGCGTTCTTTTGACTTTTTGTCTTAACGTTGCGGTAACCATGAAATGGTATGTGTCTGCATGTGCACCTCTGCATGTTCTCACGCTGTTATTGATGTTTATTTTCTCGTATATTTGGGACCATGTTTTTTGATCTGGTGAGAACCATGTTACTTTGTGGTATACAGGGTGTGCAAATTTTGTACTACTGACTAATCATATTGGTACTAGTTGCTAAGTTGCATAATCTTTGACCATTATCATTTGTTTTTTCATGTAATGTGTATTTACCTGCAATTTGGTTAATATAGTCTTCCTTACCTATCTGGGGGTTAAAATCTCCCATTACCAGAATTGTGTCTTCTTTGGGTAAATATTCAATTTCTTGTTCCAGTTTCTCATAAATGTTATTTTTTTCCTCTGCTACAGCGCTTTCAGTTGGTACATATACGTTTATGATGGATATATTAAATGGTTTTGGCGTTAATTCTCAGGTATGCCATGCGCTCATTTATTGGTTTAAATTGCATAATATTATTTTGTATTTTTCCTGTAGTTATATATGCAACTCCATATTGACCTTGTTTTTCATGCCCAGAGTAGTGTAATGTGTAATTTTTTTTATTTATTTTTCCTTGACCTGCCCATCTAATTTCTTGAATTGCTGCAACATCAAATCCGTATCTTTCCAGCTCTGAGACAAGCTCTTGCATTTTTCCTGGTTCAAGCATTGTTCTGATGTTCCACGTATTTATTTTTACTTGCTCGTGTTTTTTAATTTTTTAGTTATGTTTTTTATGTACGTTTGTTTCATTATTTTTTCTTGAAAATTCATATCCTTTTTCTTTGCCATTTCGTATTTCGTTTCTTGTTGGATATCCGATATTTCTTGTTGTATCAGTTTTTTGACGTCCCTTGGTTATCTTTTTCGAACTCTTTTTTTTCCCTTATTCCATTTCCATATGTCCCCGTTAATATTTAATTTTTCTTAGCCAACTCGGATGTTCTTACCTTTAAGTTTTTCTAATTTTCCAATTTTCCGTATTTCCTGTTGTATCTTCATCTCTTCGTGCGTTAGATCATTATTAATGTATATTTCTGGTTTTGTTTATCTTAGTTGTTTTTATTCCGCATAATTTTTATTTTTTGATATAAAAACAAAAAACAGAAGTCTTTTGTTTTTATAAGACATGTTTTTTCACCTAGTTTGTAAGCTTCTTCAATTTTTACTTGTATGCCCAATTCTTTTTCCATAAAATTAGTTATGGTTTTGTTAAGTTCATTTGGATCATTTGTATCCATCGACAGTCCTTGGACTATAACATTGTTAGCTTTTCTTTCTTTCTCGAGCTGTTCTATCTTCATGTTTACTATATTTAGTTCCTGTTTAATTTCTTTATTTTCTTTCTATAGCTGTTGGTTATTTGTTTGAATCCATTTATTTCTTCTTTCAATTCACGGATTTCATTGTTGTATTCTCGTTGTTCTTCTTTTATTCCTTTCACCCTTCGGTTAGGTATTTTGTTTGTTCCGTTAAATTTTGTATAATTTTTAAGAGCTGATCAATTTTGTTCTCATCTTTCTGTTGTTTGAGAGGGGTTCTGATGATTTTCTTGCTCTTGTTGAAAATATCTCCTTCATCTTCCTTTCGACTTCTCTTTTTACTGTCCTCTGAAGTATAATCATCGTCGCTTTCCATTTTTTCTTCTTTAGATGCTTTTTCTTCTACTTTCCTATTTATATCGTATTTACCCTATTATAGCAAGCGATAAGCTCTAGTTCTCCAGTCGACCCGTCGGAAGCTAGAGAACTTCTCAAACAATAATTGAGTATAAGTTTAAAGAGTTGAAAAATAAATCAAAACAAAAATTATCTAAGTTCTGTAGTCCATAGTCAGTTCTATTATGATATTACTTGATATAAAACAAAAATATAATTTATATAATTTATTTATTATTGTAATCTCTGTATCAAAAGTCTCTACATACTATTAATTGTAAACCTGTGCTCCCAGGTCAATGACCAAAGATGTCGAGACACGTTATATCGAAATAAAAAAAAATATATTAAAAGTTCAGTCGGAAAACAAATAATCTACTTACAGTAAACGCTCATATTGATGACTTCAATAAGTGGTATTTCCGTAGCCGAATTAGCAGCTTCACATTTATACTCAGCCCCATTATCTGTCACGTTAGTCAAAATAGTGATTTCTGCCGTGACCGACTTATCCGTGGTCCTCACAGTGGAATGAATCTTCTTGTCGTTTTTATACCATGTAATAGTTGCTAAAGGATTGCCTCCCGCAGAAGTACAGGATATTTTCTGAATTGTTCCTGCGGGAATATGCGAACCTTGCGTGAATCCGTGGATGAAGGGCATGCTCGGAGGATCTGAAAAATGATGAAGGTTTAAACTGCAATTTAACATTTTGGAGTTGCGGGTAAATAAGTCCCAAATTTATCTTAGTTTACATCAAGAAGGCGAGAAACACGACAATAAAAAATGTTTTATCTATTATAGTCCGGTAAACAATTTTATTTATTGTTTTTTATTACTGTGGACGTTCTTTAATATTTGAAACTCTAGTGAATACTTGCTATTAGGAACTAAGCCATAGTAAAATACTTGTTAATCTCGTGGTTGTTTTTTTTATGTGTTTTAGCTATGATAACGATTCCAATTACACAAACTGTGACGAACGGCTTTAATTGAGGTTTTAATCAATAAACACATTTATCTTAATATTTGAGCTGGAATCAGGTAGGCTCATTTTAAGTGGACAACTGAGGAGGTTTAAAGCAAAACCGAATAAATCCACTAAAACCGATTTTTGGAAAAATAGGATTTTTCTGAGACGCTAAAAGTAATTATTTTTTTGTTTATCTTGTTCGCAAATACTGTTAGAGAAGCCATAATAAAACTTTTGCTACAATATAAATTTTAAAAAGTGATATTTAGTGCAAAAGAAAATTTAAACAAAAGTGGATTTATTTGGTTTTGCTTGAAATAACTGGATTTATTGCATTTTGCTCACAACTTTATTAGCAAGAATTAACAAAAGTATTATTTTTATTAGTAATACAAAAAAAAACATATAACATTTGATACACTAATAGCACATCCAACAATGCATTTAAATATGAAGTGCAAACTCTTCTTCTAGACAGTCACACTCATTTCTTAGCTCTTCTTATAGCAAAAAAAAATTTTAAAGACTTTCCCTTTTTGTAAATTGAGCGCCTAAGTTCGGATTGGGCTTCAAATCGATAATGCTGAAAGCATGATATTAAAATTTTAATTTCTTTAGTTTTTTTATTCTGTGTCTTTTCCAGACATATTCTTTTTAAGTCTGATATTCCAACAATCTTGTTAAGGTAATTTTGTAATTCCTTGATATCAAAAATTTTCCAGTCTTGTCCTAAGACTTTTGCACTTCCAACTTGTGCAATGGATAATTCTTCTTTAGATATAATAGTTGGATTCTTTCTAAATATTTTTTCAAGTCTGCTGGCATAAAACTGTGACCTCTTACTGGATAGGTAATACAAACTTTTGTTATATTATCAGGAGAATACTTTAACAACCAATACATTGACATATGAATCAAATGAGAATTTTTGTTCTGGCCCCCACATCCATCGCAGAACAATCTAATCTGAGTTATATTATCCAGTTCCAAAGATTTTAGGTAATCGAACAAAGCAGATGACACTTCTGTAGCGCCCCTCTCAGCCTGATCTTCGGTCCAAATATAAAACGTTGGATTTTTAGAGTTTATACCAACACAGCAGAAAGAATAGAGGATTATGTGGTGTTAATAAAATGCATTCGAAATTGGCGTGCGTGGTAAGGGTTGAACCTGCTGCAGGTCAAAGCAAAATGTCAATGAATTTTCTGGCTCTTGTTTAGAAAGCTCGTAAAATGCTTTTGCTCTTTTTTTATGAACTCGATATTCAGTTATATAATTGGTTTTCTCTTTTTCGTCTTGTTCCGATTTAATTAAATGCTTTAGACGAGTGCATTGGGAACAGGTATCAGAAGCTGGAGACGAAAATCCAATGTTAAATTTTGTTAGAAAAACCTTTCTAGTAGCCAACTTGGTACTGACTTTCAGCCTGTTCATTATACATACGTTGTAAATTTCTAATACTAAGATGGGCAGGTAAATAGATTCTTCGAGATTTTTTTCGATTATAATGACTTTCGACGCCACGCAATTTATCAACAAATTCGCGTACTTTTTCCTCTTGTCCAAACTTTTTGTTAAAATATGATCCCCTCCTCTTCGCTTTTTGGAACAGTCTCCTGAGTCAACAATCTTACATAATGTAAACAATCTGTAGTTTTTAACACCGGTTGCTGCCATGAAAAAAGCCCTGCAGATTTTAACTACCCCTGTTGATCTTGTTTTCTTAATTTGTAAAAAGAAGTTTGCTGCCCTTGTTCTTTGTCGGGGATTATCTTTAACATATCTCTTTCTTACGATACCGGAAACGCTTATCATAAGGCAAAGTTTCACATCTTGAATGCTTTTTTCTGGTACACTATACAGCTGACTTCTTATATTCTTAATATCGGATGTTTTAACATTTTGGCATTGGTATGTTTTATTGTCATGTGAGCAAGGACGCTCAAATTTCTTTAAGTCTGGATCTGGATCTTGGTACCTAAAATAAAATACATAGATAAGGTTAAAAAAGAGAAAAAGAATACAAACATTCTGCAAACTTTCATTCTGCGTTTAAATTTTTAGTTTCCTCAGAATTCGAAAAAAAAAAAGAATAAATTTAAATAATATTAGATCCAGATTTTGCGCCTACCCCCTTAAAAAACCAAAAAATCCAATTACTTAACAACTATTAACTTTACTGGAACGAGAGAAACAATATTTACTAGTCTACGATTTATAAAAGGACCTTTTGAAAAACCTGCCTCTATCCCAAAATGAGCTACTAATCTATAAGTACTTTATAACCTTACCTTTCAACTTTTCCTCTTAGCTTTTTCGGGGCTTTTTCCCTTATTCTGCTTTCTTGATTGGCTTCTTCCACAGCTACTGACTCACCCAAAAATCTTCTTCCATATTGTTTATTTAACAGCACCTCTGTTACCGAAACTTGTATCGAACTATGTATATTAAACCCGCTAAAAATAGTTTAAACCAGAAATAATATACACTTAGCCACACCCAATTCACAGACTACTGACAACCTCTTACTGAACAAAAACACGCGGTCGCTACAGTCAATGTGTAAACATGCAGAGGCGAATCAATCAACGACAAAATATCTCTAATACCTCCTTAGTACCATCTATTGTTCGAATGAAACATTTGCATAAGAAGATAAAGTAGGAAATGCGCATTTGTGGATTTATTTGGTTTTGAACACAAAATGAATTTATTCGGTTTTGCATGCAAACATGAATATCACCATTAAAATTCAGTAGGATTTATTCGTTTTTGCTCTTATTTTTATATTAGTAAACCGAAACCGATCAGCGTAAAAAAGAGGTAAACTAATAAAAAGCATTCCAGAAAAAAATAAACTGGATTAATCTCAACTGAAATCAGAATCTTTCAGATAAAAATAACATTAGAAACAGTTTTATTTCAAATACACGGACGACAAACCTTTCCACAACAGGTCGTGTATGTAATGTTGTAAATTTCCCAATAAATTAAAAATCACTTACATAAAACGTTAATAGTGTGCGTAGATACTACATTCTCCGTTAGTTGCATATTCACCCCATGGCATATAACCACCAAACTTCGCCTGTTGGGCTCCACCACGGCGGTGATGTTCGACGTTGTTATCCAGCCCCCTTCGGGCGAAATAACGGGCCTAGAGGTTACGTTTCGGACTTGTCGTCCCGCTACCAACCATTTAATCTCTGCTGGAGGGTTGGAATTTGCAGTGGTGCATGTCAGAGGTACTGGATCTCCAACTCTCGCCTCTGTTGGCCCGGAAATTGTCACGTGTGCAGGTGAAACTAGAAAATAAAAACAATAATTATATATGATACTAGACTACTATAGAAATAAGTCAAAAGATGAGAATATATAATCTACAAAAGTAATGTTTTAGTATAAGAACAGGTTTTGTAAAAAGTATAAAATATTGTTGAAAGTTGGAGTAAAAACCTATAAAACTCCCAATAATACTGACTTTATGCAATGGGAAATTAACTTTGGTTATCTTGTTTAGGTTCTTTTAAACAAATAGTCCATTAAAAATATGAAATATGAAAAGTTTGGGTCGCCACAAAAATAACTCAAAAGTTTTGAACAAATTTGCTTCTGGGGCGTTGTAACTTTATTTCTGGTCATTTTACAATAAAATGAGATCAGAGCAATTTTATAGAGAGTTTTTCAGTAAACAATGTCCACTACTTTGCTACGAGTACTTAACAACTCGCTCAGCTGACGAAGCGCTGTAAAGTCTAGATAAATTAATGAAATTAACCCTTTCAGCCCCGACAGTGGCAATTACGAAGCCTACAATTCGGCACAGGTATCTGTGATATGACTAATTTTATTTCAACATAATTCTAATAGAGGGCGACTATAGTCTCTATATAAGATAATTTATATGTATTTGAGTCATTTGGAATGTAAACAGGTTTTGTTGGCCTACTTCAAGTAATGGCTGATGAATGTGATCCTTTTTTACTTGGTAATTATTTTTTTGTTCTAATATTGCTATTGTGTTGAAAAAATCTTCATGTAGCTGTTGGTATTAACTAACTAACATTATGAAAAGTTCATGTAAAAACAAATTGTAATTGATGGATTCGACCCTTACTTGATGGAAATTCATTTTATGTAACAATAAAACACTGAAAACTTTGTTTTCAAACTTCCACAAAATTTATTTTAAATATTATCACTACAGCTGTTTCGGCTGATTGCCTTGCTCAAGTGATCTATTTTGGCTTGGGTTTACAAATTTATAGTCTCTAATGAAATAGGTTGAGGAGGGGAGAACTGTTTGTCTCAAGTTGGTCATTTAGAATTATATCTGTGTTTTTAATTTGTTGATTTCCATAGATTCTAACAAAGATAGCTTAAGGCCTTTATTTTGAATGTGAAGAATTTTAAATTTGTCATTAAAAGAATGATTATGATCTAGAAGGTGAAGTGCGTATGTCGAATCTGTTTTTCTATTCTTGAAAGCCCTTTTATGTTCTGCTATTCGTTTAACAAGTTTCTACCAGTTTGACCGATGTAAGTTTTTGGGCCGTCGCCACATTGAAGTTTGTACACACCACTATTTAAGTGTTTTTTATTTTGGCTCTTGTTATTTTTAATATATTTGCCTGGGTTGTTATTTGTTCGGAAAGCTGGTGTTATTCCTTTCTTTTTTAACACATAACACATAAAAAAGAAAGGAATAACACCAGCTGTCCGAACAAATAACAACCTAGGCAAATATATTAAAAATAACAAGAGCCAAAATAAAAAACACTTAAATAGTGGTGTGTACAAACTTCAATGTGGCGACTGCTCAAAAACTTACATCGGTCAAACTGGTAGAAACTTTGTTAAACGAATAGCAGAACATAAAAGGGCTTTCAAGAATAGAAAAACAGATTCGACATACGCACTTCAACTTCTAGATCATAATCATTCTTTTAATGACAAATTTTAAAATTCTTCACATTCAAAATAAAGGCCCTTAAGCTATCTTTGTTAGAATCTATGGAAATCAACAAATTAAAAAACACAGATATAATTCTGAATGACCAACTTGAGACAAACAGTTCTCCCCTCCCCAACCTATTTCATTAGAGACTATAAATTTGTAAACCCAAGCCAAAATAGATCACTTGAGAAAGGCAATCAGCCGAAACAGCTGTAGTGATAATATTTAAAATAAATTTTTTGGAAGTTTGAAAACGAAGTTTTCAGTGTTTTATTGTTACAAATTGTAATTGTTTCTGCATTTGCTAATATTTGGTATGGTTCTATCAAAGGCGTACGCAAATGCAGTCAGTATTATGGGCTATGTTCTTTTCAAAAATCTGTGTAATGCAAAACAAATGGTCAACAGTAGATCTACCTGCCCTATATCCTGCCTGTTCCTCAACCTCTAAGTCTTTATATTCGCTTTCTATTCTGTTTTTAATTACTTTTTCGTATATTCTACTGAACGAGTTTCTCACGGCAATGCCACTGTAATTGTCACATCCCTTCTGCCTTTTTTGTGTATAGTGGATATGAATGATGTCTTCCACTCCTCTGGGGTTCTTATTCCATTAATGCAGTTTTGGAAAAGTTTGCCTAAACTTGTGTATAGTTTGGTTGTACCGTATTTAATTAACTCTGCAGGGATGTTTCCTGGACCCGGTGCTTTGTTATTTCTTAAAGATCTACATACATCTTCCATTTCTTTCGCTGTATATTCGTATAACCGAATTTAAAATATTTATATTTTGTGTTTCGTTGCTGTCTTTAAATTATGGTCTATCTTCGCTTAGGAGTTTCTCAAAATATTGGTTCCAGTCACCAATCTGCACCCCTTTTTCCAAAATGACGACCAGGGGACAAGGGTGGCGACCCCACAAGCTTAAACTTAATCTTATACTTCCCCCCACCCCCAACATATTAAAAAAATACAATTGGATACTCTAAAAGTGCACGCTAAGGCCACAAAAATAAAACATTTCAATGGACTAAAAATGAATCTTTAACATTATGCTACGTTTGTGCCTACAGACTTGTATGAAAGTTACTGTCCAGATAAGGTTGCGGCAACCATCATTATAAAAAAATATTTTCACTGATATGAAATTTGTAAACGCTTGAAATTCTTTAGAAAAAAAGGCCAAAGGCATGAAGTTGTATTCAAAATTTAATTATATAGACCACATTATCACAACTATTAAAATACTTACATAAAACTGTCATTTCAACTTCAGCCTTCAAAGGAGCTTTGGACATAATGTTACTGGCTTCACATTTGTACTTTGCTTTGTTGTCACTAGCATCAGCAGTAAACGTGTAAACATTTTCCGACAGTCTTCCCGCAGTTCTGTAGGCCATTCTGATTTGTTCCCCGTTTTTGTACCAGATTAATTGAGCGGCAGGATTTCCACCTCGACATCTACAAACCAGTTCAACGGTTTGACCTCTGCGAATGGTTTCTCCTTCGACATATCCTTCTATGTATGGTATAGCTAAAAGTAAATTAAAGAAATAACTAATCATGTACTTTAATTTTAAAGTTTTGTAAATCCTTTAACAATGCATTGTGGAAGGTGATAAAGTCTCTCCGGGTCCCGGAGAGACGAAAAGGAAAATCTAACTTACAGTTAATAGATCTAAAACAGTGTAAACACCATTATGAGGTCTTACTGACAGAGGATAGATATAAATTCCAAGCGAGTTAAGTGATGCCCTCAAATGAGTGAAAAACGGTAAAGCAGCAGGACCTGGAGACATCCCAATCGAGTTGGTAAAGTATGGACCAAGAATATTACATGAGATGTTGGTTCAACTATTTAACAAATGCTTAAAAGGACAAAATATCGCTGATGATTGGAATGTTGGATACATCAGCTCAATATTCAAGAAAGGGGATAAATGCAAATGCTCCAATTATAGGGGAATAACTATTATCAGCTCAGTGGGAGGTTGTACGGTTGAATAATAAAAGAAAGAATAGAATCAGAATATGAAGACATAGAAGAACAAAATGGATTTCTTGTAGGAAGATCGTGCACTGATGATATATTCGTTTCTGCAGCAGGTAATCGAAAAACGGAAGGCAAGGAATCTATCTACCCATCTATTGTTTGTAAATTTAGAGAAGCATGAATCATACGATCAACGGTACCTTTTAAGAAATTGTTTTCAAATATTAACGAAAGTAGGTCTCAGTATAGAGTAATGTGGATGCTATCGGAAATAATTTCCAAAAATGCAAAAAGTGTCGTTAACGAAGGAAACTTTATATCTGGATCATTTCCAATAACAAAGGGGCTTAAAACAAAGATGTTATCTATCTCCGATAGACGATAGAAGAGACATCGCAAACAGAAGGCAACAAGGAAAAAAAACGGTAAACATTCTAAACTCTCTACTATGGTCTAAAGATATTAGACAAGAAACGACAATATGGACATAAATGCCGAAACACATATAAGTAGGAAGCAACGAGTGAAATATATATGACTAAATATACAGACTAGTTTATGTTATGATACGGTGGTGATATAGATATGTAAATACAAGTTGTAGATAGAGAGACGTACACAAATAAAAATAAAGCTAGATAAAGAGATAGTAAGGATAAAGATAAGCGACTCACTGGATATAGATCAAAATACAAGGTATAATACATTCTTTCATTTCATTGTGAAATTAGTACATCTATTTGCCATGTTTTTAACATTTATATTTTGGAAATGATAATGTCTTTAAAAATGTTTAATCGATTAAAAAATTAAAAGCCACTTACCTGGTGGATAGAGTACGCTAAGTTGGACGGTAGCTCTCATGGGGATATCCTGAGACAATGCTTCATGTCTAGCTTCACAAGTGTATTCCGCAAAGTCGTCTTCGGCTGTTGGTTTCAGGGATATTCTTGAATGAGTATCGTATCTCGTTACCCGCTTGTCTTTCGATTTACCAGGTACTTCTGAAGTGTGGTCTTCTCGGTTTGCTACAAAATTTCAGACATTATACTAAATTTGATCTACATGGGATTTTTATGAAGTAATGAAAAGTTATTGCTGGATTTCTTAAATACACAGGAGTAAACACGTAGCAGTATCTGTAGTAGGTAAAATAGTTGCAGGGATATTGATGATAATAAGATTTGTCTCATAATATTAACTCATAAATATTTATATTTTACAATAAAAATTTCTATCAAATATTAATAAAAAATATATAAAAAAAATCGTTACAATTTTAGATGGTTTATTTAACAATTATTTATTTATATAATGCATATTTTAATGTACGTCAAAGTCATACAAATTTAAAAAGAAATGTGGAAATCCATAAACAAGAACTAGAGAAACAGTAAACAGCCCTTTCCCCTTCCCATTAGAATTAAAAGGTAATTGATTAAACGAAAGTCATGCGTATAGATATGTGTCAAATGAAGTGAATATTGAAGACTAAGTTTAAAAAAGGAGTACATTACTGGATTCCTCACTGCACATCATAATACTTGAATTGTTTGTCCTATTCATCATCATCCAGCCCATTACGTCCACTGCTGGACACAGGCTGCCCTCATTTTTGTCCATTGTGCTCTATCTTAAGCACTTTCATCAATTTTTTGACATGTTCTTGAGATCGGCAGTCCAACGAGCAGGGGGTCTTCCTCTACTTCTTTTGTCTAACTTTGACATCCACTCAAGCAATCTCTTTGATCTTTCATCACTGATTTGGGCAACGTTTCCGGCTCAGTGTGGCAATTCAGGGAATTACATCGGTGTAACTCCTGGTCTTCGTCTTAAGTCTTCATTTGTAATTCGGTCACGAAGCGATATACTCAGCATTGATCTTTCCATTTTCCTGTGAGCTATTTGCAGCGTTTTAGAACTTGTAGCTGTCAATGTTAAAGTTTTCGGCACCATAAGTCATCACAGGCAACACACATTGGTCAAATGTTTTACGTTTTAAAAAAATTAGTATATCGCTTTTAAATATGTCTTTGAGTTTTCCATAGACTGCCCATATTGAGTTTATTCTTCTTCGAGGTTCACATGTTTGGTTGTCCCTTGTGATCTTTATTTCGTGTTCAAACTATATGTATTTTTCCACCAGCTCTACTTCGTTGACTCCAATATTGATATTTTCGCTAGGTACTAATTTTGTCATGAATTTTGTTTTGGAGATTTTTATTTTAAGACCCACACTGGCACACACTACATAGAGGAGAAATACGTAGAGGAGTACGACAGGTTTGTATATTGTCGCCGCTTTTGTTTAATATCTACAGCGAACAAATATGCCAAGAAGCTCTCTCACATGCAAACGAAGGGATAATAGTCAATGGAGAAGTTATCAATAACATTCGATATGCTGACGATACTGTGATAATGGCAAGAACAGCGGAAGATCTACAACATCTAGTTGAAAGTATGAATGAGATATTTAATAACTACGACATAAGGATGAACGTCCAAAAAACCAAATATATGACCTTCCGTAAGAATCCAATACATGACACTAGTATCACAATAAACGGTACCCAACTTGAAAAAGTAAGCGAATACAAATACTTGGGAACCCTATCAATGAAACAGGTGATCAAAATCACGAGATAACAAGACTTATTGAAATTGCCAGGTCTACCTTTATAAAAATGAAAAAATTATTTGGTAATCGTGATATTAGTATTCATCTACGAACTAGAATATTAAAATGCTATGTATTCAGTACATTGCTTTACGGTGTTGAGGCATGGACTCTTAAACAGAGGAATATTAAAAATCTTGAAAGCTTTGAGATGTGGTGCTACAGTCGTATACTAAAAATAAGTTGGGTGGATAAACTTACAAGAGGTAATAAGCAGAATAAATAACGATCCAGAAGTTATTATGAATATAAATGAGAGGACAAAAGATACATTCCTACCAAATATAATAGGGTGCAAAATTTAACACGGACACTAAGATTTTTTTGTTTTTTGTTGGTGTTTAGATCAAAACTTGTTTATTTTGATTGAATTGTATTTTTATGCCATATTAGCGATAACGTTTTCTTCATCTTTGAACCTATTTTAGATGTTTTGTGCGAAACAACAACACTTTTATACATGCGTCTTGTTATTAGTGTGAAATAGTGGATTAGTAGTATTTAAGTTTATTGTGGTACTATCCTGATTATAAAGATAGCTGTAGGTTTTTGTATTGTCTCCTATTTAAAACTCACCTTAAAAAAAATTTAGACACACGGAAGACGAAGCCCAGCTGTTGCTTTACAGAATTATAGGCGGAGCATTCGTTACGTGGCAAATGCTTTAGGAATCTTCTAGAAGTACAGTGTTTGATGCAACACAAAGATTTCGTGAAACAGGACAATACATCAGGAGCCAAGTCAAGATAGACGAGAACCATAAGTTAGTGGAAGATCGCTTTCTTAGTTACAAGCGTTACGTGATCGTATATTATTAGCATCAGTAATTGTTCGATGATTAAAACATGTCAATATAGACACAAGTTTCCGTTTATACCATTTAAAGGCGCTTTAATGAATATGGATTAAGGTCCAGAATACTGTCAAGGGACCTCTATTAACAGCAGATCATCGGAGGCAACGTTTACTTTCGCTCGCAAACAGCTTAATTTGGGTGTTGACTATTGCAGTGCTGGGCTTTTCACGGATGAATCAAGATTAACAGATACTCATCAGATGGACGGTCTAGAATATGGAGAAGAGCTGGTTGAACGTTTCCTAATAATGTTGTCTTTACTCCGAGAGTTCAATTCGTGGAGGTGTTAAAATGATGTGGGGCAGGGCAATTTCCCCAAAACTTATACAGAACTTGTTACAATTAAAGGGGGCAAATTGAACGCTCAACGGTAATATTCAGCAAAACTTTCGTCTGATGCAAGAGAAGATATGCTACGACCCACACATCGCAAGAATTATACGGGGATTACTTTGATTCAGTAGGGATTCGTTTATTACCATGGCCCCCAACGAGTGCAGACTTAAATCCAATAGAGCATGCATGGGATATTCTGGAACGACGGATTCGACCATGACTATGGTGATTTTGAAACCATGAATGATTTGGAGCAAGACAGTTCATAACAGAAAGGGAGTAAATCCCTCAAGACTCAGACTTTGCTGCCTTAATCCGAAGTATACCTGATCGAATGAGAGCTGTAATTATTGCTTTTAGATTCATGGGGGTAATATATTCTACGAAATATCGTTTTCCATAAACAAATATTCATATATTTAAAAAATATCAATTTTTGTTTCGTTGCAAATTTTCAAATTTTTTGAATTGTTTATTGTTTTTTTCTGTGTAACGTTTTTGATGTTGTGATAAATTTGACTTTTAAATTTTGTTTTTTAATAAATACTCAGTTGGGAACATCTTAAACTTTTTTAAATACTAGTTTTTAAGAAAAATCTGGCTGTCGGTTAAATTTTGCATCGCAGTGTATAATGCAAGGAAAAATCAAGGACGCAGAAATTCAGGCCGTAGAAGAATGTCCTGATGAGAAATTTAAGAGAGTGGTTTGGCTGTACCACTAACGAATTATTCAAAACAGCAGGTAATAAAATTAGAGTCGCCATAATGATATCCAATCTCCGATAGGAGAGGAACTCAAATAAGAAAAGAAGGCACACACTAACTGGAATTTCAGGTAGCATTATACATATTCCTTGAGGTTGTCCGAGAACAAAACTATGTCGTCACGAATTTCAAATTTATTTAATATTCTATCCTAAATTGTTCAGGCATTTCTCTTCCAGTTAAGTTTTTTACAAGCAAATTCTAGCTCTGCGGTAAACAGTTTAGATGATAAGGTATCACCCTCTCAGACTCCTCTGCCTATTGGGATGTGATCCGTGTTTTATGTAGTGCACCGACATAGTTGCGTTCTTGCATGTATGCAATGCGGCATGCTTGTAGTGCTTCCAGCATTTGTCAAGTTTCTACTTTATGGAAATCTACAGGATTTATGGAATCTACAAAAGCAGAACGAGTGGTCGATTGGTATTCGATATTCTTTTCTATTACCGATTTTAATGCTCTGTCGGAAGGCTAGTTTTATTTGGTCTATTGTGATTTCCGGTAGTATTCTGATCTTTGGGTTAATAAATGCCCCTTTGCCTTTTTTATACTTCTGGTACTTGATCTTGTCTGCTATTTGTTTTATGTTGGCTTGTGTACAACAATTTGTAGTCTTTAACTATTTTAAGGGTTTCCTCTCTGTTGGTTGTAAGATGACCATTTCTATCTTTACTGTTTATTATCTGCCTTGTCTCCGTTCTTAGTCTTTTTCTCAAAATTTTGTATTTTTGTATTTTTCTCAAAATACTTATGAATATTGCATTTTAATTTGTATTGTATTATTATATTGAATTATGTTGCAAATGTATTGTATCGTAATTTTTATATTAATCAAAATAAACAATAAATTTTACTGCAGAGTATGTGTAAAAAAATACCTATATTACCTATTTTTTTTGTCTTTCTGCTCTCTCTTACCTATAGCATTAAATATGTAATGATTGCGCAGATTGACTCCCATAATAAATTTGTAACGGCGAAACGCGTGTATAGAAGTATAACTTGTACCGGCAGTCCACTGGACTACCAAACCTGTTTTTTTTTATTTAATTTTTGTAAATTAATTACTATTTCACTGGGAATAAGCCACAATTAAAGATAAAAATACGTTTATTGACGTTTCAATTTCCACTTCGGAAATCGTTTTTAAAATACAAACAGTAAATTAAACAAATTTTGTTTTTTGTTACATAGTGAAAAATTCTTCTACTAATTTAATTTTATCTGACTCATTTATATTGACAATTCAGACATACATTATGCATTTTAAAGTAGACGACTTTAAAATGATATTGCCAATATTGTTGAGTTGCGCTCCTGGGACGACTTTACTTATAAGATAGTTCATTCGATTACATGAAATCAACTTTAACTTGAGAATATCCGTCAGAAAAAATCATAGCATGTAATTCGTCTTTAAAAAGACAAACACATGACATGATGACAGTAAAATTCTCCTGTTAGTGATTCCATAGTAAATTATGAGGGAAAAACCAGGAAAAAACCTCATAATACTATCCCGACATTGTAAGTATTTGTTCGTGAATTTAGTTTACCTTCAACAAACATCAAAATTCTGATTTTATATGTTACGTTATTTAAAAAACATAAATGATGTATCCTCTATATGTTACTGAACTTACTAATACTGGTATTTTCTTATTAATAACTTCCTCTTTCAATATTGGTAACCAGATCCTACTACATTCTGCCGAGGAATTTGCGACACAATTGGCCTCATTTAGCATAATTAGAGCCGCTTCTTTGATTTTTCTTTTTTACCATCCGTTTCTTTTAGGACTACATTTGAATTATTCCATTGAACCCTATGTTCATTATCCCATGCGTGTTTACATATTTGAGATCTATCAAATTCTCTATTTTTAATATAAGATTGATGTTCACTTATTCTAACATTTAATGGCCTTGATGATTCACCTAAATAAAACTGATCGCATTCACAAGGTATTTTATAAATGTAATTCTTTGTCCTTTCTTGTTCATTGTTAGGTTTGGTTTTGGACAAAAACATTTTGATGTTTGTTGAAGGTAAACTAAATTCACGAACAAATACTTACAATGTCGGGATAGTATTATGAAGTTTTTTCCTGGTTTTTCCCTCATAATTTACTATGGAATCACTAACAGGAGAATTTTACTGTCATCATGTCATGTGTTTGTCTTTTTAAAGACGAATTACATGCTATGATTTTTTCTGACGGATATTCTCAAGTTAAAGTTGATTTCATGTAATCGAATGAACTATCTTATAAGTAAAGTCGTCCCAGGAGCGCAACTCAACAATATTGGCAATATCATTTTAAAGTCGTCTACTTTAAAATGCATAATGTATGTCTGAATTGTCAATATAAATGAGTCAGATAAAATTAAATTATTAGAAGAATTTTTCACTACGTAACAAAAAACAAAATTTGTTTAATTTACTGTTTGTATTTGAGAACGATTTCCGAAGTGGAAATTGAAACGTCAATAAACGTAATTTTTATCTTTAATTGTGGCTTATTCCCAGTTAAATAGTAATTAATTTATCAATGTCACAAGAAAATAGCTTCAGAACAATATTAATTTTTGTAGTTGGTTCGCTTCTCATTTCTTCTTTCTGCTGGTATTTTGGCTAATCTCTTCTTTTTAGTTCTAGGACAGAATTTTTTTTGACTTTTCAGTAAGGCATTTGATAATTTATTATTTAAGTCGTTTATATTATTTTTTGTTTCAGGACTACTAAGTATGTTGGAAATACGTTGCTGAAAACTATCTACATCTGATGGTTTCATCCATGGTTTTGATTTGCTATTCTTTTTAATAATCTTATACCTCTCCTTCGTTAAGCCTATTTCTATTTTATCTCGTACCATTCTATGATCGCTATTGGTAACAAATCTGTTTAGAACCGTGATATCTTTAATGATGTGTTTTTTATTGTTCTGAAGCTGTTTTCTTCTGGCATTTTAAATTAATTACTATTTAACTGGGAATAAGCCACAATTAAAGATAAAAATACGTTTATTGACATTTCAATTTCCACTTCGAAAATCGTTCTCAAATACAAACAGTAAATTAAACAAATTTTGTTTTTTGTTACATAGTGAAAAATTCTTTTAATAGTTTAATTTTATTTGACTCATTTATATTGACAATTCAGACATACATTATGCATTTTAAAGGAGACGAATTTAAAATGATATTGCCAATATTGTTGAGTTGCGCTCCTGGAACGACTTTACTTATAAGATAGTTCATTCGATTACATGAAATCAACTTTCATCTTGAGATATATCCGTCAGAAAAAAAATCATAGCATGTAATTCGTCTTTAAAAAGACAAACACATGACATGATGACAGTAAAATTCTCCTGTTAGTGATTCCATAGTAAATTATGAGGGAAAAACCAGGAAAAAAACCTCATAATACTATCCCGACATGGTAAGTATTTGTTCGTGCATTTAGTTTACCTTCAATACTGAAACGTCAATAAACGTATTTTTATCTTTAATTGTGGCTTATTCCCAGTTAAATAGTAATTTATGTGTTTTTTGTCCATGATAATCAAATCTATTTCGTTTTGAGTTTTTCCATTAGGACTTTGCCATGCCCATCTCTCTGTGGTTTCTTTTTCAAAAAATTGTTCATTTGGAATAGTTTACGTTGCAGCATGAACCTTAACATTATTTCGCCATGTACATTTCTACCATCCAAGCCAAAGTTTCCCAAAGTTTGTCCTATTACTTGATGCCTATTACCTATTTAAATATTTAGGTTGAGATTATATAGATAGATTGTAATATAATGTGGAGATAACAAAAAAATATATATTAGAGGCGACATACATATATCGTCAAGACACAATTAGACGTTTTTATAAAACTAAAAAACATTTTACCCATTTCAAACACATTCCACATTCACACAATGAAATGTTTATTTTGAACGGTTTCGTAAATACTTTCACTGTGTACTCACGTATATTAATTTCAACGTTGCCCCTGTACCAGACGATCTTTGCTGCGGGTTTCGCATTTTTAACTCGACATTCCAGAGTGAATTCTTGGTTTTCCTTTATTTCTATTTTAGAATTGTGCGTGTGATCCAATATTTCCACCGAGGAGGGCGGGGCTGAAACAAAAGACACTACTTTAGTATTCATTAAAAAACAACACGACTAAAACAGATGTAGAATAAAAAGAAATTTAAAAAAACATGTTTTTAGATATAATGAATAATTAGAAATAGAAATATTTTACTGTTTCCAGATGCATAAAAAACGCCAGATGCCTTCATAATAATGATAAAAATACATAAAAATTAATACGAGGTCACTCAATATTCCTTTTGATTGTTTTCTCATACAACTTTAAAATAATTATTTAGAATTACATTTAATTTACGAATTTTACTACCAATATTAATTTCTTTGGTAAATTTATCAGATTTGCAAGGTGATTGATTTTGCAACTTTTCTGTGCATTAAGGTTATTTTGCAACGATACCTACACAGTTATGAGTAGAGAGGGGAAAATATTTGTAATTATCTATCTGAACTTTTCCAATTACTACCTGAATTTAATAATTATGGGTTTAAAAAAAGTTATTTGATAAGCGTAGCAAGTTGTAGATACCTACCTACTTTTAAGGATTTAATTATGTTTTTCAGTTAAAGTAAAGTTTGTATAGTGTTTTGAAGTAGATATATTCAATTTAAATATGTCTACTATTCAAAAAAGTGACTGGATAAAGTGTTTTCCCGAGTTAAAGCTAAGTGAAGACAAAAATACCCAAATAATGGCTTCTCTCAACTTTTGTATCGATTCCAAAAATCATAACAAAATTAGAAATTCACATGAAATTAGAACAAGAAATAAGTGATTCACAGATGGTTTTAGAAAGGGTCTAGGAACTAGAGAAGCATTATTCGGAGTCAATGTTCTGACACAACGATGTCTGGATATGAATCAGGACATATATGCTTGCTTCATAGATTTTAAAAAAGCTTTTGACAGAGTTCAACATGAAAAGCTTTTAAGTATTCTTAAGACCAAAAACATAGATAGTAGAGATCTACAAATTATATCGAATCTGTATCAAAATCAGAAAGCAAGAATAAGAGTCGAAGGAGAACTGACAGAGGAAGTAAGTATACTTAGAGGAGTTCGACAAGGGTGCATACTTTCACCACTCTTATTCAACGTTTACAGTGAAGTAATATTTCAAGAAGCTTTATTGGATATTGTGGAAGGTATTTTGGTCAACGGAAAAAGCATTAATAATATTAGATATGCGGACGATATGGTCATATTTTCAAGTGACATGGAAGTTCTACAGTACATAATACAACATGTATACAATGCATGTGAAAGGTACGGACTGCAAATAAATCTCAAGAAAACGAAATCAATGATATTCAAAAAAAAACACAAAATGTAGATAACCTGATCATCAATATTACAACGATCGAAAGAGTAACAACATATAAATATTTAGGAACGTGGCTAACCGAAGATGGAGATCAAACAAAGAAATCAGATCTAGAATAGAAATGGCAAGAAACACGTCCATAAAATTGAAGAACTTACTTTGCAACCGTAACCTTAATCTAGAGATCCGCACAAGAATGCTACGTTGTTACGTTTTTTCTACTTTACCATACGGCATGGAAGCGTGGACAATAAAACAGTCTGAAATCAAAAAATTAAACTCCTTTGAGATGTGGTGCTACAGGAGAATCCACAGAATATCGTGGACTGAAAAAGTAACTAATATAGAGGTGTTACAAAGGAATGAAGAAAGAAAGTCATAAAAAACTGTTAAATTAGAAAGATTCAATATCTGTGTCATATAATGAGGGACGAGAAGTACGTATTACTTAGATTAATTTATTAGGTACAGGTAAATTACTAAGAAATTTAGATAGAGTCGGTTCGGTTGCAGCTCATTAAATTATCAATAATCGTGACCAATAAAATTAAAATAGCGATGATGATTTCCAACCTCCGAAGAAGAACCTGAAGAGGAAATACGAAAGGAGTATTTGTAATGCCTGTTTCCACAATCGTAAGTTTAATTCATTTTCACATTTCATTTCTTAAATAAGAAACTTACAAACATAAGCATCGTGTCCCTAACTGAAATTGTTCCCAAAAGAGTATTTTTATTGAAAAATTTTGTTTTTGCTTATATAAGAGTATAGAGAAAAGCATCAAAACATAAAAATTCGTCAAATTGTAGACATTTCCGCTTTTGTTCTTTAGCTCCTTGTATAAAAATCAATTTCTTTTTGGTGATGGAATATTTTTTTTCTTCTACAGATTTTGTGTGACAAGTCTTCATAAATTGAAGCTAAAAAATATTGCATTAGGATCCGTTGAGTGGTAGATTCATATATCTCTTCACAATTTTCAAAATCAAGATGAATAAAAAAAAATATAAAATCTTTGTTTAATCAAAGACCTGTATAAAGCTCTACTAGCAGCACACCTTACATTAAAATAATGCAAAATACATGTTTTATTTAATTTTTTGCAAAAATATTGTAACTTCAATATTCCTAATGGGGCAACACTAAGAAAGGTAAATGTGAATGCATTGTATGACGAAGTAATTGAGGATATTAAAGTTTCTTTAAGCGATTACAACTTTTACATAATTATCGATAAAAGCACAGATGCATGTATACTTCATCTAATTTACTTATCGTTGCACGTGATTATCATTGACAGAGATTGAAGTTGACATAGTTGCCAAAGTATAAAAAAGCCATGAATCCATTTTAAATCAAATATGTCACATAATTATTGCAAAAGTGGATTATACAACAGAACAAATTAATATTACACATACTAATAATATAATAATAATAGTAATTAATAATACAGACTAATTTTGTTCTAAAAAGAACAGATTTTATTAAATAGGTATAAATATTAATCAAGAGGTATTTACTTTAAAATTTAAAATATTAAAGTACAAAAAGTGTCAACACCGCAACTGTCAAATAAGTGTTACCAATTTATGCCAAAATATCACTTCGTTCGATTACAGTTACAGTGTGTTCCGAACAAATGTTCTTCATAAAAAACGCTTTATAATGCATTTATACAAATTAAATAAAAGATATTATTGCGTATTTCCTTAAGTTAACATTAATAAAAATATTTAAATAACTTTCTGCGCGTATATAATAAAATATGTCTAGTGGCTGTATTGACAGTGTACTCGGCTGTGTACTGACAAGTAATTCTAAAAAAGAACACACCTACCGCCTAACTATTTCGTGTTGGTATCATGTGACCTCACGAGCTATGACGCGGATGACGTGCAACGGTAAGTAAATTAGATGAAGTGTATCGATATATTAGTGCATCTTATAATCGGCGCCTTAAAAGAGGATGAACCAGGAAAACCTTATTTAATAGCTGGAAAAATAAGTAAATGAAACTAATATTATGATTGTAAACCGCTGCATTCAGCAAACACTCGCTGCTTTTTTTGCCAAAAGAATTAAGAACTGAAAATTTTTTAATATTTATATTAGATGCTGCTTCGTATATCGTAAAAGTGGGAGAAAACTGAAAAATATTTTATCCAAATATGGTACACGTCACTTGTCTTCTGTTTCCTTCTGACAGGAACACTAGAAGAACTGCAACACCTTGCTGAACAAGTAAATATATATTGCAACGATTATGAACTAAAAATAAAGTTGAAGAAAACCATGTTCATGGTATTCCAAAAGCAGAAAACATCAAAGTTACAGTAGTATAGATAATACAGAAATTAAACAAATATCTTCGTACAAACTTGGAGCATGATCAAGAAAATGATCAGCAAAAGAAATAAGATGCCGCATTGAAATTGCACGATCAACTTTTAATAGAATGAGAAAACTTTTTTGTAATCGCCAAATCAATATATCGCTCCGGATAAGAATGCTTCGATGTTATATTTTATCTAACCCTTTTGTATGGGGTTGAAGCTGGACACTTAAAAAATCCAACATTAAAAACCTAGAAGCATTCGAAATGTGGTGTTACCGACGTATTTTGAAAATAGCATGGATGGATCGCAAAACAAACGAACAAGTTCTCGAACAACTAGGAAAGTAATGCGAAGTTTTAAATTTTATAAAAATCAGGAAATTGGAATACTTGGGGCACATCATAAGAGGTGAAAAATACGAACTACTAAGGAATATAATGCAGAGCAAAATCAAAGGCAGAAGAAGCGTAGGAAGACGTAAAATCTCGTGGCTACGCAATCTCCGTGAATGGTTTGGATGCAGTTCAATTGAACTATTCAGGCGCGTAACCAACAAAATTATAATTGCCAGAATAATCTCCAATCTCCGATAGGAGTAGAACTGAAAAGAGAAGACTTGTCATTTACATGGTATAAGCAGAGTAGCAAAAGTTTTTAGAAGTGAATTTCAATTAGTCAATAAATTAATTTCAAACGTTAAAAAGGTATTTTAAAACTACCTCTAAGTGTGCAAATCCATAAAGAAAAATTAACAGGTGAAAGCTTGCTCCCAGAGCCTGTAATTACAAGATGAGAAAATAAATAAAAGCAGCAATTTTTACTCAAATCATTTTGATGTCCGAAAAAAGGTGTTAGATATTCAAAATGACTGACAGTGTTTATCTTTTTAAGACTGTTTTCGAAAACAGCTGTGTTTTTACGCTAATTAGTTTAGCTTTTGTAAAGCAATCTAGGTTATGAATAAGTACGGTTTTTTTGTATATTTATCACACATATTTTAATTTGTGAATATTAGGGATTTATATATTCTTCTGTATGTACATATAATTTGTTTATTGATTTTACTTTTTAAATAGAGTTCCATAAATATAGTCGTCTTGCTTTATTTTCTATGGTAATATATATACAAAAACGAAAGAGAATTCTAGATTGAACATAGACAGCCTCCTTCTTGTCATCATAGCCTTTTATATAGGACAGATAAGCAGAACAATATGAATCCTAATCCTAAAAATTAGTATAATTAAATTGTTGAAGACAAAGTGTTGCAAAAAATAGTTTATAAAAGGTATTTTGAAAATAATTTTTAAGAATTCAGAGAAAAAATAACATGTCCTATATGTTGTAATCACAAACTATGGCTTTTCTCCAACGAAACGACAGCAAAAGTAGTAAATAAAATTCTGTACTTGATAGGCACTCATAAAAGTCGTTTGTTGGTTAATATTCTCAAACAACTGTTCTTAACTTTCAGAAAATTAATAAGTGTTTG